GGGGCAGGTTCTCCTGATCTTCGGAGGCGGGCGTGCAAATAGCTGCCACGTCCTCCGTCCGCTCGTGGTAGGGTTTGAGCATGTTCACATGGAGCATGCGTCTCTTCCCTACTCCGGAGCATGGGCCGATCACATAGGTGGTATCGCATCTCTGCTCTACCACCTGGTATGGGCCCTGCCAGACGGCCTGTAGTTTATCGGTGCGGACCGGTTTAAGGATTAGCACCTTCTGTCCCACTTGAAAACTACGGTCTCTGGCCCCCTTGTCATACCAACGACGCTGGCGTTGTTGGGCGGCCTGGAGGTTGGTGCGCACTGCCTGGGTCAATTCCTCCAGGCGATCCCGGAACGCCAGCACGTAGGGTACAATTGGGGTCCCATCTGCGCTACTCTCCCCCTCCCAATGCTCTCTAATGAGATCCAACGGCCCCCGGACCCTTCTCCCAAACAATAGCTCAAATGGGGAGAAACCTGTGGACTCTTGGGGTACCTCTCTGTATGCAAACAACAGATGGGGAAGGAATCGTTCCCAGTCCTTATGGGTCTCTCCGAATGTCCGGAGCATCTGTTTTAGGGTACCGTTGAATCTCTCACATAACCCATTGGATTGCGGGTGGTAGGCGGAGTTAATGATCGGCTTAATGCCACATATCCTCCATAATTGCTGAGTAACCTCAGCCGTGAATTGCGTCCCCCTATCGGAGACCATTTCCTGTGGGAACCCGACTCGGGAGAATATTTTCATCAAGGCTTCAGCTACGGTCTCGGCGTGTATATTAGTTAGGGCAATCGCCTCGGGGTACCGGGTGGCGTAATCCACCACGGTCAGGATATACCGTTTCCCAGAAGGGCTGGGTTTTGGTAGTGGCCCTACTATATCCACTGCCACACGGCTGAATGGTTCCTCAATGATAGGTAGGGGACACAGTTTTGCCTTGTGGCGGTCCCCCCTCTTGCCTACCCTCTGGCACACATCACAGGAGGTACAGTATTGCCTCACGTCTTTAGAAATCCCGGGCCAAAAGAATGCGTGCGTTAAGCGATACCGGGTCCGGGTCATCCCTAGATGGCCGGACAGAGGGATATCATGGGCGATTCTTAGTAACTCCTGCCTATACTTCTGGGGCACTACTAACTGCTTAGTTTGGAGCGTCACCGAGTTGCCTATCGCCCTTTCCGCCACCCGGTATAGTAACTTCTTCTCCCACCTGTACTGTTCTCCCTCCCGCCCCACCTGGTCCGTATCTACCCTATCCCGGTATACCTGCAGTGTGGGGTCGGTCTGTACCTCTACTTCGAACGTGGACGGGGTGTCCCAAGTCATGCCTGTCAAGGGGGGGTCATGATTTCTTACCTGAGCCTCAGAGTGTGCGGGGAATGCCGTGGTGCGAGCCTGTTGCCGGGTGGTTACCGGATGCGCCTCTTGTGACGGGGCCTGTGGTAGAAAAGCAGAAGTCATCTGGCCCAAGTCATTCCCCAAAACAACATCGGCCGGTAGTTTTTTCATTATGGCCACTTCCACAACCCCCTCCCCAGCACCCCAATTCAAATGCACCTTGGCCGTGGGTAACCGGTACATGGCTCCCCCTGCTACCCGAACTGCCACTGATCCGCCAGTGTGGGCCGTATCTGGAATTAGATGGGGGGCCACTAAGGTTAAGGTGGCTCCCGAGTCCCGCAGCCCCTGCACTTCTTTCCCTCCCACAAATACAACTTGGCGGTGATGCTGCCGGTTGTCCGTGGCTTGCACAGACATTACCTCGTACAGAACCCCCAATGGTTCCTCGGTTGGTACACTTGTCAGCTCCGAATGGTCAGGTTCTGCGTGGTAGAAATGGGCCGCCGCCCTGGGGGCGGAATTCTGCCGTACCTGGTTCCACGCCTGCCTGCTACGATTCTGGGTGCACTCCCGAGACATATGCCCCCACTGCCGGCAGGTATGGCATTGTATGTTGGCCCTGCCATTGTAGCGGGCTGGCGGTGGGGGGTTTCCTGGTGGTGGCCTGAAGGGGGTAGAGTTGGCGGGTGTGGAGCTGGCTGGGTGCTGTTGTATTGGCGGTCTCAGGGGACCCCTGTTGGTGAGCCCATGGTGTCTCCGGGCGTCAAAGTGTTCGTCTGCCAATCGGGCGGCTGCTGTGAGGTTGAGAGGTTTTCGGTCCCTTACCCACTCCTGTGCCTCTGGTGACAGACCGTTGAAGAATTGCTCCAGCAAGATGAGTTGGCGCAGTTCCTCAATGGTGGTGGCTTGACTTGCCTGAATCCACCCTTGTGAAGCTTGGTCCAGCTTATGCGCCCATTCTGCGTGGGAATCTCTGTCGGGTTTTTTCAATACCCGAAATTTCCGTCGGTATGCCTCTGGGGTTATGGCATATCTTTCTAGGATTGCTCTTTTTACTTTAAAGTAGTCTTTGCTGTCCTCTCTGGGCACAGCGCGGTAAGCCTCTGCTGCTCGCCCTGCCAACTTGCCTGCCAGTAAGGGTACCCACATGGTCGGTTCCAGGTCGTGCAGGTCGCATAGCCTCTCGAAATCCTGCAGATATCCGTCTATCTCATCCTTCTCCTCGCAGAATGTTTTAAATGCCTGGTACGGTATTTTCTGCTTTGTTGGAGGGCAAAATGAGTTGACGATGGATTCCGCCCTGGATGGTGACCTCTGGGGTTGCTGTGCCATAATGTAGTCCTGGACGTCGGCCATTAGCACGGTTAAAATGTCCAGGGTTACTGGCTGTGGTACAAATTCCAGCCGGGTTCTCAGTTCCCTCTGGTATGGTGTTTCCTCTCTGGCAGGTGGGGGTGGACTGCTGTGTGCCTGGTCGCCCTCCATTAGCTCTGCAATCAGTACTGCCTTCGATTTGTTGCTAGCGCTTCTCCCTCTAGCCTCCAGCAGTTCCTTTAGCGTCTGTCTCTTTAACGCCGTGTAATCAGTCCCCATTCACTGATCGCTTTCGTCTGCTTGTTTCATACGAATTGCCTTTCCGTTCGGTAGTTCCTTTCATTCGAATGCGCTGTATTCGGCTGTAGAGTTGGATCCCGTCGCTTGCCACCAATTGTAGCGGAACGCCAATATAAAATCCACGAATTCCGCTGGTCCAGAAACGAATCCACAGTCAAGCGCTGAAAACACCAAGGCAATATCCCCAACCTCCCAATAACCGGACGAGACACAGTTTTGGGAGTCAACTCACAATCCTTTAATCGGCACGACAATTTATACAAGTCCCCATGCAAGGGGTTTCCTGAGTCCTTTCCCAGGGGCACTCCCAGAGGGGACTACATGGGGGACTTACAGTATGACATATTTCTCCCATCAGGCACTGCTGCACGAGAGGGATCATCCTCCCAGAATGCACCGTAAAGGGGATTATCCCCTCGTGCAGCAGAACTGGCAATTCATATAAAAATGCATAACTTTTAAAATATACGGTGGATTTACACGAATGGACGTTCGGTAGTTAGCTGGGGTCTGGGCGCATCATTCGTGAGATTGCCGCTCAGATCCCAGCCAAAATAACCGAACGCCGCACAGAAAACACATTTCTTTCAAAACCTACAAAAAGGACCGATTGCTTTTCGTGAACCTGGTCCTGAAACTCCCGAACGTCTGGGAGGCTCAGCGGTGTTCCTGCCGTCGAATAACCATTGGTAATGGTATGCGTTCGGCGACACGGACTCGCTGACGAACGAGGGATCCAAGATGGCCGACCGCCGCATGGTCGGTAGTCGAACGACGGCCACCCAGGAGAGCCTCTAATAACCGATTGCAACAATGTTGCAATCGGTTAACTAGCGCCACACGCCTCTAAGTGTGTGGGCTATTTGAGGGTATCGCGTTCGGTTCACGAACGGCTTTCTAAAGTGCCGTTCGTGAAACGAAGGAAAATCCCCATACAAAACCGCCATTTGCATTCGGCGGAAACAGCAGTACAGGTAACACAGAAAATACATTAACATATACATAAGTATAAAGCGCATATCTCGCCCGACCTATTGGCAACCCTTAAAGGCCCAGTCTCTAGTTATTGTCCAAGTGGCTAGGTTTGCCACACTCTCTCTCTCTATATATATATATATATATATACATACTTTTTAGCAGTCTGTCTGTGTGAATTCAGCAGTCTGAGTGTGTCTGTGTGTGCATTCAGCAGCCTATGTGTGTTCTCAGAAGTTTGCATGCGTGTGTATTCAGCAGTCTGTGTGTGTGTTCAGCAGTCAGTGTGCATTCTGCAGTCTGTGTGTGTATTCAACTGTATGTGTGTGTATATTCAGCAGTCTGTGTGTGTATTCAGCTGTCTGTGTGTATGTATTCAGCAGTCTCTCTTTGTGTATTCAGCAGTCTATGTGTGTGTATTCAGCTATCTGTGTGTTTGTGAATTCAGCAGTCTCTCTCTGTGTGTTTTCAGCAATCTGTGTATATTTTTCAGTCTGTCTGTGTCTATTCAGCAGTCTGTGTGTATTCAGCAGTCTGTGTGTATGTATTCAGCAGTCTGTGTGTATGTATTCAGCAGTCTGGGTGTGCATTTAACAGCCTGTGTATGTCTGTGTGTGTATTCAGTAGTCTGTGTATGTGTGTGTATTGTGTGTATGCAGCAGTTTGTTTGTGTGAATTCAGCAATCTTTGTGTTTGTGAATTCAGCATTCTGTTAGTGCATGTTTTTACAGCTGTCTATGTGTGTATTCAACAGTCTGTGTGTATGTATTCAGCAGTATGTTTGTATTCATCAGTCTGTTTGTGTGTACTCAGCAGTAGTAACTAAATCTTCTGCTCTAGCTCTGAGGGCACCCTCCTTGAGCAGGCATAAAGATCACCCTGGTTGGTCCTGTGCCCCCTCACTACCTCGAGGGAATTCTATGTTCTTCACTACCATAAGAAGACATAGGCACCCACCTAGGGCCACCTTAATCTGGCTCTATGCTTACATTTCTGTATTTTTGTTAACACCCACACAAAGATATACAAAACATTTAAGTTCATTTTAAATTAGACATTTCAGGATTACTTTTTTTTTTTTAATTAAGTTTTTATTAGAAGCCTAAACATGGACACAGTATATACAGAGATGACAATATTTTCAATGTATTAGAATACCAACCGATGTCAGAGACTATAACTGTATAATCAGCTGTTCTAACCAAGTATTTCAGTTTACTTTGTCTGCTACAAAGAAAATAAAAGACGTCAACACAATTAAAAATGATGAACCTAGAAGAGATAGAAAAGTGCTTAGCGGAAACAAGATATAACTGTGGTCCTCTAAAAAAATGGAGCTCTTGTTATACACTTTCAACATTATTCTACTTTATAGAACTAGTGTGGGGTCATTTACATACACAGAGTACCAACGCTGTATTCTCTTTGCAGGAAATTGAGTACAACTGGAGGGTTGTAAGTGGATGGTTTTTTTTGTTTTGTTTTTAAGATAGATAAGCCACTCAGACATTATAAAGGTGACAGATTTGGTGGCTAGAGCCGTTGATGATGCTAATGAGCTTGGCCAACATGCCTGCAAGTAAACATAAAAGACATAACTTGGACCTGGAGAACCATCTCGTCACACAAATAGCCTCCACTAAATAGTAGGGCTGGAGAGGTTTCCTCCCTAGTGACACCGACCCATTTTTAAGATCTAGAAGTGTTAAACATGATTTTATTTTCCAGTTGGTGAGGGATTCACATCAGAATCTACAGAAATCTGTTTAGGGAGCAAGTCTCCAATTTTTTCATCAATCAAGGCAACGTGGCAATGTTGCAATGACTTCTTTCTTAATCGCAAAAAAGATCTGCTGCAGACACATAGAATGGCTTTTATGTCTGTCTAAGATGTAAGTGACCTTTAATCCTTATCAGAAGAATAATTATAAAGCCCCCATACATCAGGAGAACACTACATTGAGCGCTTTGCCATCTCAAGAGCTACATCTTGTTTCTTTAGTAGATGCCAATTTGCCCCACATCCAGGCATTTGCAGCTAATAAAGCAGGATCCAGCATTCATTGCCTCATTATATGGCTTAGATTCCATTGTGTTTGGGAAGAAAGCTGCTGTGAAAGTGTCAATGTGCAGCTAGACAATATCATAAAGTCTCTTGTGGAACTCTTAACAAATATGACTGCTCTGCTCATGGGTAGTCTAGGTCATGCAATATGAGGCACGTGACTAAAGTAAGGGGCCCTGCATTGCACAGTGTCAGTCACATATTACACATTGTACCATTACCTACTGTGCAGTAAGGGATATAAAACATTACCTACATTTAATTCCAATTACCGTATGTACTTAAGCAGGCAAATGGGTTTATGCATGAAAATATACATTAAAGGACCACTATAGGCACCCAGACCACTTTCAGCTTAATGAAGTGGTCTGGGTGACTGGTCCAGCTAGGGTTAATCCTTTTTTTTTTTTTTATAAACATAGCAGTTTCAGAGAAACTGCTATGTTTACACTGAGGGTTAATCCAGCCTCTAGTGGCTGTCTCATTGACAGCCACTAGAGGCGCTTGCGTTCTTCTCACTGCGAAAATCACATTGTAAATGCCTTTCTATGAACTGGCTAAATGCGCGTGCGGCTCCTGCCGCGCATGCGCATTCAGCCGATGACATCGCTAGGAAGAAGGAGAGGAGGAGGAAAGCTCCCCGCCCGGCGCTGGAGAAAGGTAGGAAAGCTCCCCGCCCGGCGCTGGAGAAAGTGTTTAACCCCTTCCTCTCCCCAGAGCCCGGCGAGTATGTTTTCCTGGCACTATAGTGGTCCTTTAACTACGTTTTTATTCTGCTTTTTAAATATAGATTTCATATGAAGAGTGAGTTATTCATTGCTAAAGTTGCTTATAATGAAAACGGATGTGCAAACCACCTGTTTGGCGATCCCTTGACTCCTGAGACAAAAATGGAAGCTACATGCACACAAATAAATAAACCCCCATTTACCTGTTAGAAACTATTGCAGGTGGTAAATAATCTTTTTACTATTATTTGGTTGAAGATTTCACGTTTAAATAGGCAGACTATGTTTACTTGGTGTATAGGCCTACGTAAAATGCCGTTTGTAGTGGATATTTCTGCAGTGCCATACTGAAAGAATTAGAGGTACTGGGTTTAAAGTGCAAGCCATTTGATAATTATCTGAAAAAATTGTATCATTTTTCTACAGAACAGTAGATTGCTTTTCCTGAGCATCACATGCTAAAGATGATCTTGTTACATATATAAAGGCTTTCGGGCAGAAAGTGTGGGATAGTGCTAAAGATTATATTCAGAATTGTGGATCGTTATGTGTAATTATTGAATACAAAGTTTGCAATCATCAATTTTATATCTTCCATTCATTATTCATCATGGCCACAAAGTAAGCGTCACTGTCTATTGAAGCGCTGACCCCACTGTAGTAATTCAGGAATTCTTCCTCTGTGACCTAAAGGAAAAAAGAGTGAGACATATAGGGAAGAATTGGTAGCCAGAAAACAAATGATTTTGTATCATTTCCATGGACCATTGCTTTTGTATTGCATTTGGACAGGAACACAACGTGCACTAATATTGCAAAGATTAATTCATTAGAATTGGCCTAATATTTTTCTTAATAAGTAATTATCGAATTAGGTGTATCTCATTGTGCTTCCTTTTGTGGAGTAGTCTTTGTTCTCAGATCGTATCTGTATTTCTAATTGTGTGCATGTATGTGTGTAATATGAGAAGCCTGTGATTGGTCTGCACAATGCACTGGCTGACATCAGAAGCAGTGTTCATTTTAGCGGCAAATTTAAATTTGGTTTTATTCATAGTCTTTTGACCAAAAGGCCATTTTAGTTTTAGTTGTAGTTTAGTCTTCTGAATTGTTTTAGTTGACTACATTTCTAGTAGATATTGGTCAACACAACTAAAATCTAATGGGTTATGTTAAAGCTTTTATCTGTCTCTTTAGCCCAGTCCCCAACCCTTCTGTGTCTCTTTGTGTCCTCCCAGCTCCTCTAGGTGTCTCTCTCCCAAGCCCTGGTCTGTCTCTTTTGCACCGTCCCCAGCCCTTCTGTGTTTATTTGTGTCCTCCCAGCCCATCTAGGTGTCACGTGTGCTGGGGGTGTGGCGAGTCCCCAGTGCTGATTACTCTGTGTGTGCAGTGTTTCCAGCGGAAATGTTGCGCATGCAGACTCCTACCAGCATGACCACTTTAACTCACTGAAGTACTTATGGTACTCAATCACTCGGAATTCTCACTTTAGTGAATAACTCCATGAACCTTCACAATTTGTAAGTTTAATACCATCCAACATATTGCATATTTCCAAGTCATGAGACACACCTGCCCATCCTTGTTATTAGGTGAGTCAAAGTTTTCCAGAAAGTGTTGGAACACCTGTCTCTCATTCCATTCTCCATTTTGGTATTTCTTGTGACATTTAGGGTTGTAAACACCTTTGAGATCTTCAATGGTAACCAGACCATCTCCGGTCTTGTCCATTTTATGAAAGGCAGCCAAAATTACCTGCCTTCGGGCATTTGACATAGGCGGCTGCAAATGAAAAACAAAGCAAAAAATTACAATATCACTATTGTTTTTATTATAATTTTTTTTTTTTAAACTAATTAACATATACATTCATAGAAACCTGTACGTTTGATGTCTCCTATCAGTCATTTTTTCCTACTTGGAGTTTTTTTTGCTACTCCAGTGATATATTTTTCTTACAGTTCTTACCCTGATAGAAATCAAGAATTCGTCAAAGTTGATAGTTCCATTTCCATTTGTGTCAAATCGCTGGAAGATCTCCTGCACTTCCTCAGGCTGTAGATATACTCCATAATTCTGAAGACCCTTGGAGAATTCTTCTTGGTCCAGGCAGTTACTTCTGTTATCATCCATGATACGGAATGCCCTGTCAAAAATAGGGAATGAAAAAAAACAAGGGAATCAGAAAATGGGAAAAGATATAAACACCAAGACTGGGAACAAAAAGAATGTTGGAACATAAAGGTAGAAAATGGTAAATACAGTTGACTAATATAAAAATAAGATACAGAAATTTCTGGCATCTTCCAAATCTAGTCAAACAAATGTCCTTATGTTAAAAATACATTGTATGTGATATCATTTAAGTTGGTTCATTAATAAAAAAAAGTTATTGACTCCTCAAAGCCTATGCTGAAGTTTGGTCCACCCTGTATAATTGGAGCCTCAATGCTCACTCCCTTTCCACCCTTCACTCCTTCCCTCTCCTACCTGGTTCCAAGCGTGCACATGTACTCGGAGGTGGTGAGAATGGTCCAATCAAATGCTTCTCATTGAGAAGCATGTAGTTTGGCCTGTGCTAGGGAGCCTGTGACATCAGATAATGCATTGAGAGGAGCACTGGGATTCACTTTAAGGTAAGCTTAACTCTTAATTTGCTGATTTTTAAAGGGCAGACTTAATGAGTAACTCCAATAGGGCATTCTAATAAAAAATCCATAAATAAATAAAGGATTTTTAGAAAAGTGTTGGAGTAACCCTTTCAGAAGTAGTTTCTCCATAATTCTATAAACAACCTGGAAAGTACAAATCAACCCCTAGACAGAGTGTATGTAGTGAGTCAGCACCTGGAAAACCCTTATTTTATAAATAGCTTACCAACATAACTTTTGATATTTGGATACAAGCCGTGTGGCTAACTAATATGCACAATACTGAGAATGACACACAGAGAAGTTTGTAATTTGGTCTGTTTCCACCGTTTTGATCTTGTTTTGTACTAATGCTAAGTCCCAATTAGTCTTTATTTCACTTACCTGCCCAGACCCTTTATTCCAGAAGCCCCTCTAGCTAGGCACTGGAGCCTTAGTTTCTCCACTGGGTCCTGACACCGGGGGTACTGGCGCTGAGCTTTTGTCATCATCTCTCTTTCCAACTGAGATACTCCAGACATGACTTACCTGGAAAAATGCAAAATACAATAGAAGAGTGTGTCACAAAGACTGAATTGCTGGTTAGAAGGTTAGTCCAGTGCAAATCACATTCACAGTAATAACAACCACATCCAACTTACTCTCTCCCTCGGCTTCTGTCTCTGACAACAAATGTTAAGGCAGCGAAATCTGGAGTTGTGGGAGGAGTTATTCAGACGATTTAAGCTCAATGGGTCTACTAAGGGCCGTTGTATGGTTCATCCCACCCGCGGCTCCCTTTATCATACATTACATCTTGATGGGGCTTTTTTATTTACAGGCATACCCAAACATTGGTTTCGACACACCACAACCAACTTTCTTTCTTTCTTTTTCTTTTTTTACAATCTTTATTTTGTGCAGTGCATAGTGTTACAGACAAGTTCTAATAGACACAATAAGTGTAATAATACACAAAAATGTAAGCTTTGAATTAAGTGTCGAGAGATTGCACTATTTTTGTATGGGAATAGAAAGACATCAAAAGCCCTATGCCGTGGGGATATACAACAAGAAAAGAAGCAGAATTATAAAACAGGGCTATGATAGTGAACATAATGTAAATGAAAATACCAATAGGTATGTTAACCACTTAAGGACACATGACATGTGTGACATGTCATGATTCCCTTTTATTCCAAAAGTTTGGTCCTTAAGGGGTTAAGTAGCCTCGGGTAGCCATGTAGTTAATGCGCCAAAAACAGGGCCCAAAAGCTAAGTTACAGCTAAGATTATAAGACAGACTATTTTAAGCCCTCGCGCTACAGGTAAGGCATACTGTCCACTCAGCCAACTCCAAGAGCTGGTAAGTTCCGACTGTTACCGCCTTCTGCTCCTCCAAGTAGGGCCCTCCAACTGAGCCAGGTCACCAGACAGTCCGGAGGGATTGTGTCCAAGATGGGAGCCAGGATTCGTTGTTGCGGTTCCTCTATATTGCGTGCCCTGTGGTGAGATGAGTAGGTGTTTGGTGCAGACAAGTTGTGCCTTGGGCAATGCGGCTTATTTCACCATGGAGGAGACGAGTTGCGTTGAACAGATGGATCATAGTGGTGAGGGAGGTGTAACCTCCGTGCTGGTTGCTTATGCCGTCGCTTCTGCAGTGTCCCTCTGGGGAGATGCCAGATTCGCGTAAGCCTGCGTCGATGAGTAGCAGGATGGTTCTGGAGGGCAGCGACCTGGCCAGCTGGGTTGAAAGTGTGTTTCCCAGCCTGAAGCTTTGTCCAGAATAGCTCACAAGTGCTATCAAAGGCCAGGAGGAACATGCTCACGTGTGGTAGTGAGCAAGGTGAGATGTCTGTGTCTGCTTGCCTCAGCAGGGCGGCGATATTGGTTGCTAGCCTTGGTCCACCAGACCTCCGAGTAGCTTGTGGTTTCGGCAGGGTGACCACTACAGTACACCAGTGGGGACTGGGTTATCCCTCACTGGTCCAAAGGGGGGGGGGGGACAGGGCTCTGGATCAGCAGACTCAAAGTCGAGGCCTAGGATCGGCCACATCCCCGCCCTCGACTGAAACTACAGGCAGCAGGGGAGCCTCGCATGGGCTGTGTCTGTAGGATTCAGGCTTAAGAGGTATCAATATATAGCAGAATGCTCCCCAGGTATGAAAACAAGCTTGGAGCCAGAAAAGGGAGCATAAAAACCCAATTTAAGGTGCGGTAAGTGATTTTCCATGAAGAGCTGCAGCACGATGCGACTGACTCAGTTGGCAGTCACGCCCTGCCCCCCCACAACCAACTTTCACCACATTTAGCTTACTCTCTACCTTGGCTTTTGTCCATGACCATCTATCCATCTATCTATCTATGAAGAAAACAATAATAAAAAGAAGGGGCACTTTGTAGCAATGCATGGAATATTTCACTAAAACATGCTGAAGTCAATAAATGGTATATGGTCAAAGTTAAGGGAATAAAGAACTAGCTGCCTATTTACCCAAGCTCATAAATGTTATAAAAGCCAAGACACAACCATTTGCATTTCTAATTTTTTCCCTTCAAAATCTGCCAAATTTATATCTTATGTTAATTGTCCTGTTTTATTTTTATTTATACAAGCATTCAAAACCAATACAATTCAATTGTGAGCTTTCACACCAGTGTCAGGGAGGGTTCCCTCGAATGTGGAATGGGAAAATTGTCAGACATACATCTATACTTATTGAGGGCTTGGGCACTCAGTTTGGGAGAGATCATTGGGGTTGGTGAGAGGAACAGAGTTGTAGAAAAAACAAACTGGCGAGATAATTGGGGCAGACAATGACACTGAACTGCATTTACAGACTGACTCTATATACCAATGCAAATCTGCACTCACACAGTTACATTATATACAAAAATGCCTATGCATTCACACTCAATATATAGAACAGAACCAGCCCCGTGCTGCGGAGACTCACATGGTCGACACTGCAGTCCCTGTCTCGTTTCTGGTCACTGATGATTTTGGATTATAACCCATGCTTTGGTTTGAAAAAATATGAAGCATGATGTGTGTCTGCTCATTTGCATATCAAACTGGGCACTCTGGGATAGCTGTGGAAATGTGATTTCACAGAACTTTGCAAAGTCCAACTTTAGGCAGGTGATTCATCACAATAATATTTCCATTTGCACTTTGCAGACTTTTGTTGTTTTTTTTGTATTACAGCTTTTATAGAGTTATTTAAAAGTTTGATTACAAAACACTTTTGGAAGCACAGAAAAATAAAGTATTATCATTGTTTTAAGTGGATCGTTTCTAATGACAATATACGTACACGTGACTTTCGATATGACTTTTGATCTTGTCAATAATCTATCTATCTATCTATCTATCAGCTGTCTTGGTTTATTTATATTGTATGTTTCCAGACTAGCAACAAGACTATTTTTGGAATTGTAGTGACTTGCTATTTATATTTGGGTTTAAATAACTGTATTTGTCAGGCATCTCAGCAGTTTAATTTTTTACAGTTTTGATATGCATTTCATGACGCGATTTCACATGCCTGGTCCGTGTTAAAGTTGGCTTCTTTTCCCCTAAAATAACGTTCGTGTGTTGCGCATGTTACATGATCGAGTGACTCAGCTCCAGATCTTTTTTTTTGTTGGTAGCAACAGAGCTAAGGATTATTCCCCTGTTACGGAGGAAATCCCTGGTGTGAACCGCGGGATTGTGTTTTGTATCCAGGAACACAGGTACTAGAAACTATTAAAAGCAAAGTGATAATTAACTACTTCATCCCAGAGGGACCATGTGTTGCTGTACCAACCTGTTTTAGAATAATATGACAGATTTCTGTGTTGTGTGTATATACTTAATACGGTGTTATTTGAACATCTTTGTAAACCTAGGTCTACCTGAATGGTAAATTGCATTAAGTAATGTGTACACTCACATTATACAAATTATATATGTTTGAGGATCTTTATTACGAACATGATTTAATATAAAATCTGTGTATTTAGTCAAAGAAATATGACTAAATCGTGGTTATTCCAGCATTATATCAGATTCTTACTTTACTTTATAGATGGGAGATTACAACAACAAAGGTACAGAAACCTTTTTTTGCAGTTTATATTTTGGACAATGCGTGACTGGTGAGAAATGCTAAATCAGAATAGGCGAGTGTCAGAATCATTACATATTTAGTTATCTCTGGGTGTTTATATACTACTAGCATATATTCATATTCCTGGATAATGAGTATATACACATTCGGCAAATTTCCATATATTAAATTGTGGCGGTTGTTCTCAAATAATTCCCTGTGAATTTGGCTGCTACCAACCCTTCTTCTTGCTTTGCTTTACAAAAACAAAATCCTACATAATTCACAATTACCCCCTTCTCCTTCAACCCTTATGCAGAGAGATTGAGGAAATAATATACGAAGTTACGGGGGATCACTGCCAATGCTCTCCACTCTATTCTATCATTATATGGGATGAAAACAAATGTTCAATTGTGGGATAAGTATACCATTTGGTCTAAAATATGTCCTCCCAGTCGTAGAAGAGAAGGGGTATCCAGACACTGATCCTCAAGTGACCCCAATCCCATATAGTGACATTTAAAAAAGAACGTATAGTGCCACTGGACCAGTAATGAGTCCATACCCATTAATTGTGTTTCCATTATTGATGTATTGTGTCTAAATATAAAGCTCCTACCCATTCCTACCCTTGGTGGTCCTCTTTTTGTCCTAAAAATACATTGATACATCATACCGTATAAATTTACCTACCAAACCCCTCCTATTTCCACTCACCTATGATAAGTAATGAATGAACGGTTTTCCAAACAGTAACTAAAGTAGCCATTTAAGCCACAAACTATGGCACACTGTACTGGCAAAAAATAGTCAAATGTATCTAAATTTGAGTTAGAGAATGTTCCCAAATAAGTTTTGACTAAATGTTGCTATTGAGAGCTTATTTTGCCATAATTCAGAGTTTAGTGAATGCGCCTTTACATTTAAGGCACTTACCTTTTGGTCATATTCAAAGAGGGCATTACCTGGTCTATTTCTTGGAAATATATAAATATAGTTGGAAATTGCAAAGCATATTTTTAATATAATGCATGTCGTATAGCTTAAATGAACACAATATTGTCAGCAATACAAACATTTATTCCTGCTACCATAGTTCTAATACTGCTGTTAGGTCCAGTGCCATGCTAGTCTTGTCAGGACTGGCCCCACCTCGCTCCTTGGCTGAGATAATCAAATTTGAAGATCTCAGCCAATTCAGTGCTTGGGAAGCTATTGGGGAGCTATTGCACGTGCATGGCAAAATACCGCACTGTGTCAATCAGCATCTCATTGTAGAGATGCAATGAATCAGTGCATCTCTATGGGAAACGTACAGCACCGCCATGCAGAGCATGGAGACGTTGAATGCGAGTGCTGCACTAGAGGTGTTCCTAGGGAGTAAAGTAAACACTGCCTTTTCTCTGAATGTAGGGACAGTCTATAGACACCAAAACAACTACTTTAAGCTGTAGTTGTTCCGGTGACTATAGTGTCCCTTTAATAAAACAATTCTAAGTTTAATTTTAAAATGATGTGTGGGCATTCTGTTACCAGTGTTTGAAGGCACTAAGGGCCAACGTTGAGAACCTACAAAAGGGGGAGGGGGAATGTGAGAGAGGGGGAGCCAGAGGGAGCCATAGGCCAGGAATACAGCTTTGTGTTCCTGGCACTTATTTTATTCCTTCAATTAGAAATTGTCAGACTGACAACAAAATTGTTGAATTGTAAAAGTTATCCAACTCAATTACCTGGTTTTTAGAGCAGGATATTTTGCAGAATAATAGCTTTTCATGTAATCTGGGCACCATAACACCATAAAATGTTCATACTTTGCTCACAAAGGATCGTGCATAGGGAGCTAGTGATAGGTTGACTAACCCAGAAGACAGGGGGAGGAGAAAATAGCCTCTGTCTTCACAACCATTTGTAAATTGTTTAACCTCTTAAGGTAAGAGGGCATCGAGGACTTTGTGGCGCCATAACAACTTTATTGAGATTAAGTTGTTACCGTGCCCAGAGTGTTCCTTTAATGAGGGAATTGCAAATCTAGGCCAAAAAAGTAGATAAACCATCACAATGTCAGCTATGTTTCTAGCTCTGCAATACAATCTCTCTAATGTCAGTGCAGCATGCATACATGTGGCTGTACCTGGTGCACTCCATAGAACTCCGAGATTAATTTAGCCCCTCCCATATGCTGGAAGGGGAACTGGAGAGAAAAAAAAAATCACATTTTGGTCGATTCACTAAAAAAAATGAATTGATAATCAAATTACCAAAATTAGGCAAATACAGCTTCTTTTTTTAAAATAAAATCTCTAACACTGTAAAAGTCATGGTGAGGCTCTTTTAGCCCAAGTTTAGCAATTTTATTTTCAATTCCATATTTAGTGAGTAAACACCATATTATCTCTCTCCCCAGCTCCTCCCCGTATGAGTCAGTAATTTCAGAGGGGCACAGGTACCGCACTAGTCTCAGCTGATCCTTCCTGGTTCTGTCCAAATATAAAAGAAACACCAATCCTACCCCAAGTTTAAAAAGAAATATGTAATCTAAATTTCATGGAACACTGAATCATGTGTTAAGGGAAAATAATCATTTCTCAATTTCTGTAGAAATTCATAAACCAGTTAACCATCGGTCTCATGCCTTTTATGTCTATTGACAATTATGACCCCAGAACCCCTTAACAGGATTTCACAGTTTTGATGGTATCACACTCTTGTCTCATTTATGGACTTAGGTGTGTAGTTATATCTCTTGTATGTATTTCTGTCTATTATTAAGCATCTGCTAAACCTTTGTGTATTGGAATTATCTGTATTTTATCCTACATAAGTTATATTTCTTAGTATTTTATCCCAACCTTCTTATGCTAAACGCTCCGTCATCTGCCTCTTTCAATGTAAAGGTATCTCTGTATTGTGTCCCTCTTCTAGTATTCCCAATTCTTCATCCTTGTTATACCTCTCTACAAGTAATTTCTGTTATAGCTCTTTGCATGTATTTTATTTCTGCTTATACCAAGCAATATATTACTTTATGCACACTGATTAGTAATAAAATTAAATCAACTAACCAGGTAGCGTATATTTGAAGTTTCAAATGTTTCAAGAGATATTGTGGCTAGCCACTTGCACATCCACAAATTCTACATATCTGTGTGTGATAATCACATGCACATATACATTTACAGGTTCCTGATCAAATATCCAGAGATGTTAGCATTCAAAACCCAAGGACAGAATTAATATTCTAGCCCGGCCCCTGACTTACCTGTTTGTGTTTTTCTGCCTTTAAAAACCTGTTAAATCTTTCTGCTCCAACTCTGCAACTGCTCCTCAGTAAAAGGTGCAGTCCTAGGTACCACAGATAAATGTTGCCTGTATCCTGTATCCGTAGTAACATCAGCATCACTCTGCGTCACACAGCACACTGCAGCAGGATGTCAGGCACAACCCTGCCTTCTGCTGAGTACTATCGTCATCTCAAGGCAAAAACAGTTTAGCAAAGCAAATTTAATACTTGCAAGGATGTTTTGGTTTTTTTTATCCACAAAAATGGGAAATTAAAACTCCAAGCACATCATCAACCACAAATGCATACCTAAACCTGAAGCAATTTTTCGGTGTTATCAAACTCATGCAAGGTAAGAAAGTTGACTTTGGGCTCTGGTGATAGCTTAGGTTTATATCAAACTATAACGGTTTTGACAAACTCCTAAGAAACTCCAGCAATAGGTTACAAGCATGTTAAAGCACTCTAACTCAGAATACTGCTATTTCAGAAGTTACACTTTTGCAAAAGCAACATAAGTTACGGTTATAAACTTACCGTAAAGTTGTTTAGATTGCATTATTTGGCACACCTCTCAGCTAGGGGAGTTTCTTGACCCCTCCCTCTTACCTACCCATTTTAGTTTCAGACAATTGCATTAACAACAGAAACAGGACATAATTGTGCAGCTGCAAGAGAGAGAAACCCTCTCTTCTACCCCTGTCAGAGGTTGCAAAGTGAAGAAATATTCCATTCACACATGCGTAAATCAGCTAGGCATGTCCAATGCACTTTTTCAGCATTCCTAGGGATAGGACACTGATTGGTTAGATCAGTGACCACCCTGGAGTGGGTGTGAAAAGTATAAGAAAGAAGAAGCCTGTATATATGAAAATAAAAATCATATTCAACTGGGTTTTTTTCAGCCTACAGAGTGAGGCAACTGTCTTAATTATAGCTGAACAAAACAGTTGTCTCAAAGTGATAAATGTCCCTTTAAAAAGTATTTTCTTGCAAAATGATAACACAGTGAAAAACTAAAGGGGGCATAGATATGCCTAATATTTTTTATATAAGTTGTCCCAGACCTGTCAAGACACATAACAATCATCTGAAACGAGTGCATGTTTAAGGGACCATTAAATGCACCCAGACCACTTCATTTCAATGAAGTGGTCTTGGTGCAGTGTTCATTGAGTTTCAACCTTGCAATGTAACACACTGCTGTTTAGTAATTAAGGTAATGCTTACATTACAGGATTAAACACAACTCAAGTGACTGTCTCGTTGACACCCACAAAAAGTGCACCTATTTTAGAAGTGCACCTATTTCCTCCATTTCATTGAAGGAGTGCAGCGCTCAAAGCCCATGTGCTTTTACTCTGCAATGCTGCTCTATGAGGAGCATTAGACTGGATGAGAAAAGTCAGACTGAGAGGAAACCTACTGCCCCTGATGTTATTTTAGATTAGAATATATCTATATTTAATTAGAATATATCTTATACTCTTAACAGAATACATTAATGGAATGTTATAGAATTAATGGAAAAGACACTATCTGATAAGTTTCTAGTTATGTAACAGTTAAAGGGACACATCTCAATGAAGTGCAGTGTCCCTGTCTTTTATAGAAACTGCAATGTTTACAATGCAGGGTTAAATCCTGTCAGTATAACAACCACTAAGGTGCTTCCACATCACTATTCACGCAACACACTTGCCGTGGATGTGTATTATGTCCCCAATGCTCCTCTATAAGAGCCAGACCACTTGATCTCATTGAAGTGGTCTGGGTGCAGTGTCCCGTGCCCCTTAACACCGCAATGTAGAATATTGCAGTTTTTGATCAACTGCAACATTGACATTGCAGGGTTAAGTCTTCCACTAGTGGTTGTCACTACGACAGAAACCCTTTAGGAATTCATTGATTCTACTGGAAATATGAATGCATGCACGGCACTCGCCGCATATACACATCAGGTATCCAGTGCTCCTCTATGAGAAACCTTGGCCACGCCGGAGGAGGCAAAGTCGACGCCTGGGGAGGAGAAGTCAGTAGCGCTGAGGGAGCCGCAGCGCTGGAAAAAGGTGAGTAAACCTCAATTTAAAAAAAATATATATATTTTTGCACCAAACCTTTAAGAATACAGGTTAGTATTCCTAACACTATAAAGTTCCTTTAAAAGGTTAGAATTTTGCCAATTTATAATGTGTAAGACTAGATATGGACCCCAATTAGCTTGCAACACAATTTAGCCCTTTAATAATAATAATAATAACGGCAGTATTTGTGAAGCAGAAATTAAATCACTAAATGTGGGGGGGGGAGGGGGCTTGATTGGATGTATTTAGCAAAAGCAATTATTATAATAAAATAAATAATAATAATAAATAAACCCAGTATAACAAGCTGTAATAACCTACACAACTCACCTAAACACGCTGGCGCCACCTAGTGTCAAACTATGATTATATGACAAAATTGTAAAGATTTCATTTACTGGACTAGTCCGTCATTTATGTATTTTAACATTTTAAGGACACATGACATGTGTGACATGTCATGATTCCCTTTTATTCCAGAAGTTCGGTCCTTAAGGGGTTAACAGAACTCATTGAGCAGGGCCCTCCACCTTTCTGTTCCTGTACGTCCAATTGTCTGGTTAAAATTACATGTCTGTTAGTCCACCCAATGTACAGCGCTACGGAATGTGATGGCGCTATATAAATAAAATAATAATAAGAGGGAATGCTTGTAGAATTATAACTGGCATTGTCCTGCATACACTGCTATCACAGACACAAATAGCCATCTATACCATGATCTGTGAGCCCACCAGGAAATTCTACACTTTCTTCCTTATCTGTGATTCCGGGGGAGACATTCCCTTATCCCCCCTCCTCACACCATTTAAAGAGACAGTAACCCAGCAATGTATATAATGAGCCAGTCTGCAGCAACAACCAATAAGGCTGGGCATGAAAGGGTTAACCTGAAGGGTGACTGACAAACCTTTCCAGCCAATCAGAGCACGGAGAAGATAAGCAGCCAGCCAGTCAGTGCAGACACTCCAGACAGCCTGTCCAAACGCGTTGACCAATCAGCTGCCAGGCCCAAGGCGCTTCCTGGATGCTGGAGCTGCAGAAAGTTACATAGTAGCAGAAGTTTGCAGTTTGGTTCTAAGGAACGTTCGGCAGCTCAGACTGTAGGAAGTTACCTGTTGCCACTCAGTGATCACATCGACTGACTTCAATTAGAGGGACACAGTGACAGGTGGCAGGCTGGGCTCAAGAGCTTGCAATCTGACAGCTGGACTCCATGTGCAGTGTCCTGCACACATGGGATGGCTCACAGTTTTATTTTATTTAGAATGCAGAATGTGATGTGATGTATGTTTCACTGGCACTGCCCTTGGCAGAGTGTGTGGCATTAATCAGTATTAATGCTGAGACTCTGAGCTGCAGCTTAACCCATCATTGGCTGTGCTGGCTTATCTTAGAAAGGTCTGGATTTGATTTTATAGCTCATTAGAACCAGACAGTAGCTAGGATGAGTGTTTGACAAGTGGGGTTATTAAGAAGCAGGACAGCTCTATCATGTCTTCTCCCAGCCAAATCCAGATTAAGGAAGCTAATGCCCATCTAGCAGCCCTACACCACAGGGTGGCTGAATTGGAGGGCACAGTCAGGGAGCAGGCCGAAAGTCTAATCAGGAAGGATGAACAGTTCCGGAATGCATTGAGGGACCTTGCAGAGACCAAGGACAGGTCTGTATTCTCTCCCTGGGGTGTTAATCCAGGTATTGAGAAGGGCCAGTGAGCCACTCTGATTCTAATTAACATTTATACAGAACTTGTGGGTGTACCTCTCACCAGGCTTGTAAACTAACCAGCTTGGCTTCTGAAAGGTCACTTCTACCATACTAAATTCTATTAATATTTGCAAATCTCCTTAATGGTCTTTTCACCTGTAAATGCTAACTGTACTAACAAAGTGTCTAATAACCAGCTAGCACATTAACCTGGAAGGTGTAATGATGATTGTATAAGTGAGGGCCTGGTTCACTCTCTTACATGGCTAAACTAGTAATGTCACCTGTTCTTTGAAGTATATGACTGCAGTACTCCATATGTTGTCAGTAATCATGTATGTATCTCATGTTTAATTTACATAGCTGTATTAGTCTAATACTACTTTCATTATGGAATGACTGGAAATGTTAAGGCCCAGGTGATTTGAGCAGGATAATTCTCCATGGACTGCATAGAAAATATGGGAGAGAGGGTCATTAAGGGGTGAATATGCATTCCTGCTTACTCTCATTGTATTTTAATTAAAATATTCTATATTAACACATTCAAATGCTTCCAGAGATCCAGATCCCCATATGTAGCAAAACTACCACTCCCAAGCTGCTTTGCCAGTTGTAGTTCTGCAACAGCTGGGGATTTACATCCTGGCAAAATGCAACTCTCCATTCGTACATCTTGTGCTTCCATGCAAATCGACTAATTGATTCGCACACTGGCATGCTAGGCAAACACACACCTACATTTACCCACACAGACCCTCCACATAAGTACGCCTGATCATACACACATTGACCTCACACACCTAAATGGATCGTCCACCCAGTTATACAATTGCCAAATCTTCAACAAATGCACCTTTGCATTCACACAGACTAACATTTATTTGTTCAATCTATGCTATTTATTGTGAGAAGCCTTGAGATCAGGCTAGTAATTTAGCATTTGATCCCTGCTCTTATTTTACGTCCTCCAGTAAAGACTATTACTTGAATATGCTTGTGTGAAGATTTGTGTCGTTAGCTTCTGTGCTATATTCAAAATAATGTCTGGTTTTGTTTAGCGTGGTGCGATATGAGAGCTAGGAGGGTTTCTCTAAAATAATCACTCATAACAACCTGCGATCCTTCCATTTATTTGATCGCAAGGAGCTATTTTACTTGTTGCCCTTCATTGTGTTTCTTACAGATTTTGCAGTTTTTCAGTAGATGATATACAGATTATATACACATACAAATAAGTATTTTTTTAAAATCAGCCTTTTGTGCACATTTATTAAATGAAACCTAAAGCGGATGTTACTTTTGATAGTCTTGTCATATTTTTGCAAAGACGCCCATACGTGACATCTCCATTTTACCTACCTGAGGTTGTCCTTTGCGGCTGCCACTGTCTTCATCTGAGGGTGCTTAATCTGCCAGGAGCCGCATTATAATTCTAATGAATATAGCGCCAGCAAGTTCAGTAGTGCTGTGCCTGACCTACAATACAATAAGGAGGTCAAAGGAAGAGCCTGTAAAGACAGGGCTAGCCTGAGGGGTGTGCGAGCTGTGAGTCCGCACAGGGCTCCATGGGGACAAGGGTGCGTTGCCGTGAACACCGCTTGCAACAAACGGGGCACACTCTACCTCCGTGCGCCCTGGTAGGGGAGATCTCCCTCACTGGTCTGTTTGCCTGATTAGGGGGAGGGGGCACAGAGGGCTTCAGTTCTGCACCTTCGCAGGGTGCAGATATTGAGCACTTCTCTTATGAGCTCAGCATTCAGAGTGTTGCTGCAGTTTACCACTGATACCATTAGTGTGGAGCTCGTGAGAGGAGGGCACCTACTTTGCATCAGGTGAATATGCAGAACCGAAACGCTGGCAGAGACCACTGGACCACCAGGAATCAACATTTCTCCCATTCCCTGGCCAACGATGTGCAAGAGGGCGGGGGATTCAACTTGAATTTATTTTAAAAAGTGAAATTATTAAAAAAAAATGTAATTGCTCTCCCATCCCCTCCTTTAAAGCCCTATATCACCCCTCCTACAGATAAAACATCCCTATTCCCAGGACCACCATCAGGGGGTGACAACCATGACGATTGTCACAAGCACAGCGGCCCTGGGAGGCCTGGCCGCCTGGGCCCCATGTGTAGCAGCGGAACTGCACCAAGACCCGCACGCTGATGTGGCCCAAGCATTTAAGGCCACCTGATGGGCCCTATATCTTCAGGGGCCTGGTCAGCACTGTGGCTGTATAATGGCGCGACCGGGCCCCTTAAAAAAAAAAAAAAAAAAAAAAAAATTGCGGCTGCAAGTATTGCTGGGAGGAAGTGATGGCCCGATCACTTACTCCACGCGGGAGGGGAGAGCCAGCCGACCCCCATCAGCCCCAGGAAAAGGTAAGAAACAGGAGGATGGCTGAAAAATGAGCTTGTATGTATGTTCATGCGTGTGCATGCTCGTGAGTTTGTGCCTGTGTGTGTGTATATCTGTGTCCTTTTTGTATCAGTGCCTGTGTGTGTGTGTGTATTCCTGTGGGCGAGCTTTGGCGGCGGGGGCCTTGAGCTGTGTTAGAGGCCCCAAAATTTCTGATGGCATTCCTATACCACACCATGTTCCTTACGCGCTCTGCATAACCTACACACTACATTCCTACACCATACTTCATCCCTATCCCACCTCACACCGTTCTCTACACACTACATCCCTACCCTGTCCCAAACTATGTTCTTTACACACACACACACACACACTGCATAACCTGCACACTTTTATATACTACAGACAGGTGAACATTACCATAACCCCCACATTAAATACATAATTTTAGCAAGAGATATATTATGTATTCATTGTGAAATATTTAGATGCAATCGCACCTCAATTTCATTGGTCAATTGTTTTAGCACAACAGAATACCATGTAAAGAGTTGATTGACAAGTAGGAGAATTTTTTTATTTTTTTTTATTTTTTTTTATTTTATTTTTTTTTTTAAGGGACTGCCTAATGCCACCAATAGAGGGGCTTCCTTGTTGCAGTTCTGCAAAGATTGCAGGAACAATGTTAGCTGTGTAAACATTCTGCACTGACATGTTGAATGTTCCCATTAGAGATGCATTGAATCAATTGATCTCTATGAGGAGATGTAGATTGGTGATTCTAGGCAATTGCCCAGCATACATGCTAGCTTTCCTACGGGGATTGGCTGTGAACATCAGTACTAATGAACTCCACCAATGGAGGCAGGTCGGATGCAGGGAGACTGGAGCTTTTTCATCTTAATTAAAAAGGGCTCAATAATCTAAATAGAAATAAGATTTTGTACTCCTAATGCTAGTGTTCCTTTTAATGTGCGTGCAGCAGGTACTATTTGCTTTGGGTCCCAACATCACTGTGACTCTTGTTTTTATATGAAGACCTCTAAAAGCTGACACCACCACCACCGCACTGACCTGCTGATCCTTACAAATACCTATAGGGAAGACTTTTGAATATTTATATATTCTGTCACACCTACTGTATCTGAGAAAATGTCTATTTTGCTTTTATACAAACATTTGTCCCTGAGTGAAATATTGCAAGATAAAGGATTCTTTATACTGTCTAAAAATGTTCATTTCCCAAATATGTTTTATAAAGTATGAACGAATAAGTAAAAAAAATAACATTTGTGTAAATGTACATATTTTATTTTTTACGTTTGACTGCAAAGCAAGCTATACAGACAATTGCAGTGTTTGTGTTTATCTGCTAGCTATACATGCCTTGCTTCCAATAAATGTTATGCTAATATTTTTACAATCAAAAAGTGCTTGGTAATTCTTCACAATCTGAACCTAGATTAAAGGGACACTATAGTCACCAGAACAACTACAGCTTATTGAATTTGTTCTGGTGAGTAGAATCATTACCTTCAGGCTTTTTGCTGTAAACACTGTCTCTTCAGAGAAAATGCAGTGTTTACATTACAGCCTACTGATAACTTCAATGGCCACTCTTCAGATGGCTGCTAGAGATCCTTCCTGGGGCAGTGCTGCAAAGTGTAAATTACATTCAGTATCTCCACCCTCTGCATGCAGACACTGAACTTTCCTCATAGAGCTGCATTGATTCAATGCATCTCTATGAGGAGATGCTGATTGGCCAGGGCTGTGTTTGGCTTGAGCTGGCTCTGCCCCTGATCTGCCTCCTTGACTGTCTCAGCCAATCCTATGGGAAAGCAGTGTGATTGGATCAGGCTACCACTTCTGATATCAGGTGAGCAGGCAGATCAGGGAAATACATGTTTGTGTTCCTGACCCTATAGTGTTCCTTTAAGGGTTATTCACTTATTTTTAAGACTTTGACATTTTTACGGTCTACTTCACAGGAAGATCTCTGAACTCCAGCAGAGACTGGCAAAGTCTGAAGAGGCAATGCGGAGACTGATGGCTTTCATTAAGGAAAAAGACAGAGAGCAGGAGCAGCTAAGACACCACAGTCACCTTTTGGCCAGGATGTGTCGCAGTAGACCTCTTTTAGACACCCTGGTTTCTCTGATGGTAGAAGCTGAAGGCATTCCCTGCCTCCCTGCTGTAGAAGAGCAAAACGGACTCTCAAACGTTTTAGATTACCCACAAAGTGAGGATGACCTTACCGACTCTGATGCAGACAAAACACTATTTGGGACAACTGTCTAATTTACTATTTTAAAAACTCTGCTTTTATATTTCTACTTTAAAAATGTCAGGTTCAATTTTCTTCAAATTGTAGCACACTCTTAATATTTTTAAGAAATGTCTCTACATATTTAATACGATGAAATACAAAGAATGTATTGGGATTAATTTGGGGTTCTGTTTTTATCAAAGTTTAAGTCAAAGCTTTCTTATTCCTTTAACCATCTCTTTTTATTACCTTACCATTTGCCCTGTAGCATTAATTAGTTCGGTTTAAACTTTTAATTTGGAAGTTCGATCAAATCACAATAGAGCATTTTGCTAGTACGTAGTAATTTGGTTTTATGTGGACCACACAACGAGTTTTAGAATTTTCTATACATTGCGATATATATATATATATATATATATATATATATATATATATATTGTGTGTGATTTAATTTTGAGGCTCTGTGGAATATGCTGAAATTCTATAACTAATACTTTTATGAATGTATTAGTCATTAAAGGAAGAATAGCAGGTTCTAATGAATGGGGTTGAATTTTTACTTTTTTTTTTTTTGTTTTTTTTTATAGTTACATAAATTACCCATTGTAGCAGGAAATCCTTTAACGCTATAAAATATAAAATTACTTTCTTACTATAGGCATCAAATCATAGCTTAATGAAGAAGTTTTAGTGTATAGATCATGCCTTTACAGTCTTACTGCTAAATTCTTTGCCATTTAGGAGTTAAATCACTTTGTTTCTGTTTATGCAGCCCTAGCCACACCTCCCGTGGCGCTGACTCTCACAGCCTGCATGAAAAAAAAAATGCTTTCACTTTCAATCCAATATTAAAGGGACACTACAGTCACCAGAACTGCAGCTTAATGTAGTTGTTCAGGTGAGTATAATAGCTCCCTTCAGGCATTTTCATGTAAACTGCGTTTTCAGAGAAAAGGCAGCGTTTACATTTCACCTAGGGCCAACTCCAAGTGGCCACTCCTTAGATGGCCACTGGAGGGGCTTCCTGGCTCAGTGCTGTTCAGCGTCCCCAAGCTCTGCATGGAGACGTTGAATTTTCCTTTATAGAGATGCATTGAATGCATTTCTATGAGGAGGTCCTGATTTGGCCAAAATGGCATTTGGCCGTGCCAATTTTAGCCAATCCAATGCTTTTCCATAGGAAAAGCATTGGATTGGCTTAAAAAACCCCCAAAAAACAGCCATTTTGATGTCACAAAGGGGGCGGAGCCAGCACCGGCAGACCCACGCGGCGCTGGAAATAAGGTGAGTTTTAAACTTTTATAGGGGAGGGGGGGGGGGGCAAGCCACCTAAATGGTGGGTTAAACACTATAGGGTCAGGAATACGTTTGTGTTCCTGATCCTTTAAATTACTTTAGAAGTTCTTAACTCCTTCTCTGTAAATTTAACTTGAATCACACACAGGTGCAAGGGAGGGAGTGTACATCAGAAGTAAAAAAACTCACACCAACTTTACGTACTGGTGTCGACATCTTCCCATGAAGCATTGTGCGTTCACATGTGTTGAGGCATCATCCTTCCCATAATCCTGCAAGTGTGGCATTCCACCTATGATTCCTGGAGATGGCGCATATATTCGTGTGTACTGTATCCTCAGATTTGCATTATGCTGAGCTGTGCCTTCACTGTTTAAAGTATGATACGAATCCAAATGTAAAAACAGAGGCACTTTACAAAAAGAAAAACAATGTGCAAATATATATCAGCTGTGAAAGTTCCTTTTTTTTAAAAAAAAAGTTTTTTTCAGTTGAAACATTGTTTATTAGGTACAAAACTTCTGAAATGTATCTAGATTAGGTCTGTATATACCCTGCGCTAGTTATAGTAATTGCCAAGGTGCTTCAATGACCCACCCTCCCCTGCAATAGCATGTCATCTGAGTTTTTCTATTTAAAAAAATAAATAAAATTGTATGCATCAGTAAATGTGAGAAGCATATTTTCTGTATTTCACTGGTGTTCGTGATACAGCTATTTAAGAATGACTCAAAGCACCATAACCACTACAATTTGCTGTAATGTTTAATGCCAGGGTTACCCTGGCCCTAATCCCTGGTAATGAAGCAAACTATTTTGCAACAGTTTGCCCTCTTAATTGGGTACTGCATGCTAGTTGAATATCTGATTTCTGCAGAAGCCAGATGCTAATCCTGTCAGCCATTCTTTGGCTGAGAGTATCGGCCAATGGCTCTCAGTCAGTGACATTCGGTAGATCGAAATATGCACAGAATTCTTATTAAACAGCCCAAATGACTCTGCTGCTAGAGGTATAGTTCCACCTCCAGCAAAGGGGTTCAACTTTGTATGGACAGCATTTCATAGCGAAAGACTAAACATACAGATCCAAGCACCATGACCACTTCAAATTACTGACATTTTCATTGTGCTTGGAGTAAACCTTTACCGTTTATCTGTAATGGTTTTAAAAAATGTACATTTGAAGCAAATTATCTACTTTTTTTTTTTTTAACTATATGGGTCATGAAATAAAAATCTCCCAATTTTAATGTGCAATGTTAGTCATTATATCGAATTGCTATTTTTGTACAGACTGTTTATATTGAGAAAGTGTGGGATTTGTTTTTACAAATTTTTTTTTATTTTTTTTGCCTGAACAGTACTGTACATGCACTCATTTTGAAATGGTACTATATCTTCTAAATGTGAATATTTCCCTCCTAATTGATAGTTTTATTGCCATAAAAAAGTCACTTTTTAAAGAAGGTAAAAAGTAATCTAAAACATTTGAATTATTAGCAAACACATTGATTTTAATTTTATAAGTAAGGTCACACTTGTATCTGTGGTTTTGGCAAGACTGTACCTGTGAAGGTGACTGTGGGTCCATTTGTTCACTCCCACAATGCACATGGAGAGGTGCATTGTTCTCTTGGCCAAAACCAAATTTTGGGTGCATGCGCAGGACACTGAAGAAGGCATGATATTTTGCTACGTTGTTTGGGAGTTAATTTATGCAATTGTTTGACCATCTTAAAGATATGTTTATGCTATCTTCACATTTATGGAGAACAGTACCACCTGTTGTAACCTGTTGATAACTGATTGGGTTTATTAATTTTTTTATATGTAATTAAATGATACAGCAATTTTAATGTTTTTAATAAAACATTTTACTTACGTTGCCATCATCTTCATCATTCTTTTGAACTGCTACCACTCTATAATCATACAAATGCATTCTTTAGCTGCACATAAAGAAATGGGGAGAAAGTGTGGAAAATACATTTAGTAAGATCATATATAAAACAGAATACTCAGTAATAGAGTGAAATAATTAACTTGACGCTATTTAGGCACCAAGGATAAAAAGAATGATCTTCAGATCAGTAAAGTGGCAACTCCAAGATCGAGCAACCTGGAATTAAAATTAGTTGTTTTTTTTTAAATATATGTCCAAAATCTGGCAGTTAACCCATAATAATCTAAATAATGTAACGTATACCCGGGTGCTTCCCAGCAAATTGTAAATAAAGTGAAATAAGAAGCATTCTCTCGGTTTTCAAAAAAGTGTATTAAACCTGCCAAATAGTTATATCAACATTTCTACCTTCCTGGATCTTTATCAAAATGATAAAGACCCAGGAGGGTTGAAACATTGATGTAACCATCAACGTTTGAAGGTTAATACACTTTTTGGAAAAGAGAGTGCTCCTTATTTCAAATAATATAATATAATTTATTTGTGGTCGGGACTCAAAAGCCCATAAGCTGTAAGAAACAAACGTAACATAGGGAATATACAGTCGGTTAAGCCTGTCTTGCACAACCATGAACCAATTCCAGCTAAAATTATGGCTGAATGGCATCATCTACTGTAGCTAGAACTCTTCGGATGGTATTAATTAAATTAGGCATGGCTGTAGAGTGGGTGGCTGATGAGTCCTTTTTATTAGTATTTTAAAAAAAAAAAAAGGTAGAAAAAGAGGCAAACTAATGAATATGGATTTTGCTATGTGCTTTCTTTGCCCAAGTTCACTAACCCCTTCTCTGTCCCTCCTTAACCCACTGCTCTCTTTGTGTCTCCATCTGCACTCCAATCTTACTCTGCATTCTCTCTCTGTGACTTGCCTCAGAAAATAGGCTTGCTAATAAATCCTAAAGAAAAGAACGGTAATTGTTGGGAAAACACCAAATGTGGCCTATAATAAATGTGCGCACATACACCAAATGCAGTTTCAAAACATACAATGCAATTCTTATTGCTAATCATTGCTATAGAAAACTAACCAGAGTTTGGGAACAGAAGATCCCGTGTATCCTCACTGTGCCTCAGCCTCAAACACGTCTTATCATTGCAAAGACAACCTATCCCTTTTAAAGATGGACCTTAACCTACATACTAACTAGGGACAAAGATCATATTGAATTATGTCAACATTTTTTTTTCCCCTTAACTAGCATGCGTATCAAAGTTTCTAAGTGTATTATTGTGCATGTGAGAGGAAAGACAGTCGAATAGATTAATATGCATGTTTATCTAAGAGACATCTTGTAGCATTTGGATAATATCTAGTACCTACTGAAATAGCGAGTTTTATTGCCCGGACTAAATCAACCGATCATTCTTGTGAAGCAGGTTCTATTAATACAATACGGTTGGATTATTATAATATGAATCCTCATGGAGGTATGGACATTAGGGAAGGCTAAACATACACATTTTGATTAAATAACATCAAATTCATTGTAGTGAGGCTGAGTGAGATCTCGGTGGGCTAAACAACTTGCCTCAACAATGTTTTAGATTCTTTGGACGGATAAATACTTATGTTCTAAATTAAGCAAGTACATGTGGGTTGGAGAAAGTGACAATTTATAAATATTAATTTTTGGTTATCCAACTCCGTTTGTTAATAATTTTGTATAAATAAATGAAAATAATTCTGGGGGGAAAAAAACTTGCCCCAATCTGTTATTTAAGCTCCTAGCGGTGTGCGAAGAGAGTGGAGGCAGGGATGTGAGTGAATGTCAGCTTCTGTGTACCCTCATTTTGCAGCCACACTATACTCAAATAAAAGGTATTGCAGAGGAGTGTGAAGGTGGGTAGCTGTTGGTGGCTAGAGAGAGACACCTAAGGTAGGTAGGGGATAGAAGAGATACACAATGACAAGCAGGTTTGGAGGGACACGTAAGAGCGCCAGGGGCTGGCGAGACACAAGGGGTAGGGAAGACAATTGGAGACACAGACAGGGGTTTCAATGGGGTGGAGAGATACCAGGGAATGATGGAGGCTGGAAGGACGTAAACTAAAACATATAGAATTTTAATAATTATTCATTAATATAGTCTAGGTTGTTAAAGAAACACTCCAAAACCATAACCACTACAACATGCCACTCCCTGCCCCCAGTACTTCCAGCTAAGAGCTAAAAGCATTTAAGCAGGGTTTCCGTCTGCTTTCCTGAGCTAAACTCTTCAGAGCAGTATCCAATGATCTAAGCCTTGCACCATTAAGCTTAGCTCAGAGGGAGAGCTTTTTAGTGCTGCCACATAGTGTAGTGGTTATGGTGCTTGGCATGTTTCATTATGGGTTTGAGAGGAAGAAGTTGGGGTACTCTTTAGGTTGTGAACTTAGAGTGAAAGGTGGCATGTACAGGTAGTAGTAAGGAATAACATTTAGGCTTGGGAAAACTTTCCCTAAGCATTTAGAGAAGGCAATCACGGGTAGTCTTTAGCATTTAAACAGGGGAGAAGAGGCAGGAGAGCAATAACGAGATGGGGCAAGCGAAGGAAAAACAGCTCTTGTAGAGAAGGTAATAAACTGATGGGTAAAGAAGAGAGTGGGAACTGGGGGAGAGAGAGACAAAAATGGGCACAGGCTATTGGGGAGTGATGTAAGACTCAGATGAATGTGTCAAACTTGATTTTGGCTCAGACCGTGTGTGTGGTAGCTATACTAGCGCCCTAGAAGAGACCAGTCTATTCACCACAACAATTTTGCATGACTGGCAATGACTTATAACTGCAGCGATTTGTAAAAGTCAACCCTTTATATATGTTATTCCTGCTGCGAAAACTTATTGGGTTGGGCCACCAAACAGCAATTTTATTATTATTTTATAACGCTCCAAGCACCATAACCATCACAGCCCCCTATAGTGTTTATCGTGCCAAGAGTGTGCCGTACCAATATAATATGCCACACTGTTTCAGAACTGTTTAGCAACTTACCCGCGACTCACGGCTACAGCCCGTTCTCAGCCAACAAGCATGGTGGTGGACCTGCAGTGCTTAGCTGAAAAGCGACACCGGCACTCAGATGTATTGCCAGGACAGCGCCAATGCACTCTGCACACTATAACTACTACAGCAGGCTGTAGTAGCTGTGGTGCCAGAAGTGCCCCTTTAAGATTTGTGTTAGGTGGGCAAATACTATTGCACACAACATAGGAAAACAGTTTACTAAACTGTGCGCAAACTGACAGAGGCCACATATTGTTGCTTTCAGTTTATACTATTCATCCCGTGTTGTGAATGGAAGGACTCCTGGGAAAAATCTGATCTTTTCCAACCTTCTTAATTTCAATCCCCATTTTGTAAGTCAGCTCTCTGGTCACCAGAGCTCACAGTTTACCGAATAGATGTCAATCAATGGTCTTACAGGGTTTGTTCACTAAAATCAGAATTCAAAGTGAATTTCAAATTTAAGGTAAAAAAACAGACAAACTGGAAAATTTGCCTTAAATTAGAAATCCATTTTTAATTCTTACTTTAGTGACTAACCCCTAAATTTTTAATTTTTAATTTCCTAGCTTTGATAAATCCTGTAAAACACTACCCATCAGACCCATATTGAAAACTGTGATCGTCATGGTGCTCATTCCCAAGCAACTTGTTTTGGTTTAAATTTAGATTTTTGTTTCCCATTTTAAAACACAAAGGTGAGAGCATACACGCTGCCATCCACAAGATGGCGCCGGCTCGGCACATGAGGTCACGTAGCCAACCAAAGCGACGGGCGTCAGTCGTCATAAGGGAGGAGACATTGTCCTTGGTGTCTGCAGGAAGATGGGGTACTGGGACATAGAAGAGGGAACAGAATGTGTCCAAAAAACCTGGCTAACCACAAAGCTGGGGGCAACTATAGGTTTGTCTAACACAGGAGACCCTGGGCTATTTATAATGTATTTATAATGTTTATATCCATAGGAGGAGCTTGTGGTTACACTAATAACAGGTTTAATATTCATATGGTGACTGGTTACAGGGTTTATATGTTATACATCTCGAATAGGATTAGTGTGTGAACAAAATAAATGCACTTAGTCTGCTACATGTTAAATGCAATAATCTGCAATGGCCATTGTGACTGATACCATGTAACAAAATCACCATTTATTTCTGGAATTAGTGAATATAAAAGCTTAGCATAGTGTAGGAAGCAGGTAAGTGGGTCCAGGCCAATACCTAAAGATAAATAATAAAATAAAATTTGCTATACAGCAATTTTCTGTTGTAGCATAATTCAGCTGTTAGGGGAGTTGGAAGAAATCATTCTAATGTTCCAAATTCACATAATATATCCAATTTTAAAAATGGAATGTTGTTTAATAGCTCTGATATTATGGCAGTTTGTGTGGAATGTATTTTGAACATCATTTCAATATATTTTTCTGTATTGAAAGTCAGTGTATATTTTGCATATTAATTACCTAAATTATTTTAGGTCTCATTGGGTCTGCATATCACATTGTGGCATTTCAGCCTAACACGGCTTTGCAGGGAGTCCAAAGAGCGACGATGGGAACACTCACAATGGGTAAGAAGTAGTTTCTCTATAAAACAAATACAACTGATTAATTTAAAAAAAAAACCCTGCTTATAGGTACTATATCAATTACACTTGTAAAGGTTTTGTTTGAAGCAGAAACTAAAAATACATCTACGGTCACTTTAATGCAATCGTAGCATTCAAATATTACTTTTCAGTAGTAGCGGAGACATAATGCCTGATGCAAAAATTGTAATTCAATCACGGCACCAGACAGACACTGGCACTGTTGGATATCTGCACCTTTAACTGCACATAGTTAAATCCATTTAATTTATAATTGTAACGCTCAAGTTAGGGTTTGTAGGAGGTTAGAGTACTAAACGCTTTGTTTAGAGGCACTTCCACTCAAGTTGCTAGGGTCTATATCTTTTATTGTTCAATCTTTTTTATTGGTTTTATATTCAAGTAAATAAATAAGTGGTTACAGAAGAGAAACAGTGGTTGTTACAAGTATTGAATACACGAGTTTCCAGAAGAAAAATTATTGCGTTGTAAGTTAGTTGTTCAATGCAAGGTTTTCCACAGTTTTGGGTCTTTATATTTTATCACTCCCAGTTATTATTTGGAAGATGGTACAGGTGATACTCGAAAAATTAGAATATCGTGCAAAAGTTTATTTATTTCAAGTGCGATGATTATGGCTTACAGCTCATGAAAACCCCAAATTCACAATCTCAATAAATTAGAATATTGTGAAAAGGTGCAATATTCTAGGCTCACAGTGTCCCACTCTAAAATCAGCTAAGTAAGCCATAACACCTGCAAAGGGTTTCTGAGCCTTTAAATGGTCTCTCCGTCTGGTTCAGTAGGAATCACTATCATGAGGAAGACTGCTGACCTGACAGTTGTGCAGAAAACCATCATTGACACCCTCCATAAGGAGGGAAAGCCTCAAAAAGTAATTGCAAAGGAAGTTGGATGTTCCCAAAGTGCTGTATCAAAGCACATTAATAGAAAGTTGTGTGGAAGAAAAAGGTGTATAAGCAGCAGGGATGACCGCAGCCTGGAGAGGATTGTCAGGAAAAAGCCATTCAAAAGTGTTGGGGACTTTCACAAGGAGTGGACTGAGGCTGGAGTCAGTGCATCAAGAGCCACCACACACAGACTGATCCTGGACATGGGCTTCAGATGTCATATTCCTCTTTTCAAGCCGCTCCTGAACAACAAACAACGTCAGAAGCGTCTTACCTGGGCTAAAGAAAAACAGACCTGGTCTGTTGCTCAGTGGTCCAAAGTCCTCTTTTCTGATGAGAGCAACTTTTGCATCTCATTTGGAAACCAAGGACCTAGAGTCTGGAGGAAGAATGGAGAAGCACACACTGCAAGATGCTTGAAGTCCAGCGTGAAGTTTCCACAGTCTCTGTTGATTTGGGGAGCCATGTCATCCGCTGGTGTTGGTCCACTGTGCTTCATTAAGTCCAGGGTCAACACAGCCGTGTACTAGGAGATTTTTGAGCACTTCATGCTTCCTTCCACAGATGACTTTTATGGGGATGCTGACTTCATTTTCCAGCAGGACTTGGCACCTGCCCACCCTGCCAAAAGCACCAAAGCCTGGTTCAATGACCATGGGATTACTGTGCTTTATTGGCCAGCAAACTCGCCTGACCTGAACCGCATAGAGAATCTATGAGGCATTGCCAAGAGAAAGATGAGACATGAGACTGAACAATGCAGAAAAGCTGAAGGCTGCTATTGAAGCATCCATAACAACTCCGCAGTGCCACAGGCTGATAGCTTCCATGCCATGCCGCATTGAGGCAGTAATTGCTGCAAAAGGGGCCCAAACCAAGTATTGAGTTCATATGCATGCTTATACTTTTCAGAGGTCCGATATTGTTCTACGTACACTCCTTGTTTTATTGATTGCATGTAATATTCCAATTTACTGGGTTTTCATGAGCTGTAAGCCATAATCATCGCACTTATGACAAATCATGGCTTGAACTATCTTGCTTTGCATGTAATGCGTCTATCTCATACATTAGTTTCCCCTTTTAAGTTGCATTACTGAAATAAATGAATTTTTGCACGATATTCAAATTTTTCGAGGATCACCTGTAGATATGGTCATCAGCATCTTGTACCCCTAAACTAATGTGGATCGGAGTGATAAGCAGTGGTAGAAATGCTTTTAAATGTGCAAGACGATCACTCTAAACACAAAGTGACTTGTAGTAAATGGAATTCTTTCTAAGAAATACTTTGAAACTGGTTTAAATAATGTTCACCTTTAATGCATAGACTCCTAAAGTGAGGAGAGAAAAAATAAAAAAAATAAAAATTATATATATATATATATATATATATATATATATATATATATATATATATATATATATATATATATATATATATATATATATATATAAAATCTTATAGAGAAGTTGTATATTTAGTTGTTTTTAGGAGCGTTTGAAGTTATACTTGCTTGCCAGCCGACACTGCCGCAGTTGGAGATATATGGATGGTACATTACTGTAACTCCCACCGTCTAGTCCAACTTGCTCCCTATACTTTCTGCTATGATTGTCTCCCAGACATCACATTGACTTCATTGCTAGTCCATCAGTGTCACAGCAGAGTGACATCTCTCTGTCATGATGCTTCTATATTCCCTTAACACGTTTGAGACATGCTTGTTAAGAGGAATACTTATAGGATGGTTGTCCCGCTCCTCCTTGTTACTCTGTTGTGGGTACAGACTTGTGTCTATGCGAAGAGTTAATAAAAATAAAATAAAATGTGGTTGTTCCTCCATCTCTCAAACCGTTTTTCCTTAAATTCATATTTTGCTAGCGCAATGCATAATTTATTTTGCCATATAGTTTTGATGTTAATACACTCAGACCAGTTAATTGAAATGGTCTGGGTGTAATGGTCCTGTAGTTTTAACCGTGCAATGTAATCCATTGCACTTTTGTAGAGACTGCAATGTTTATATTACAGGGTTAAACATGTCTCTAGTGGCTATCTTCCTGACTGCCATTAGCGGCACTTTCTCTACAACGACCAAGTTAAACTCCCGTTGTAGCCAAGTGTACCAGATAGGAATGCATTCAAATCAATGCATTCCTAATAAAAGAACTTGATTGGAAGTGGCAAGCTCACTATGCATGTGCATCAGTCCCAAATACACCTCTATGAGGAGCATTGGCTAGAGAGTGACACCTGTCTATTGACGTTGCAGGAGGGGAGTGTGGGAAGCAGCACTCAGACTGGTCATTATTACATGGATGGGGTCTCTAATTTAACTATGGACTAGAGCACAAGCCTGTATTTCTAATGCTATACTGTTTCTTTGTTATATGTACATTGGTATGGAATATTGCCCAACATCAGGCAGGCGTTTTTTTTTTTTTTTGGTTCTGTGGATTTGGAGGTGGGGGGGATTCTGAGAGGTTTAAGGATACTTTTGGTTGCAGCTTGATCTGCATTTACAACAGTAATTTATAAACTTTATATTCAGCAAAAAGGCAAGTAGTCTGCTTTTGACATTTTAAATGTTTAGATGGTGGATAATTATTGACAGCAGATTGTTAACGCAATTTTTAAATACTTTTGGATTATTTTTTTTCCTAATGTATAATATCTAGCACCATATTATAAATGAAGTTATTATGGTGCCAGGAGGACCCTGGGTGCAATCTTACCATAAGGAATTAAACAGTTCTTGAACAGGAAAGCAGCAAAGTTAGCCTCCAGCACCGACCTCAAGGACCCCCAGGGGGCATCAGACTTCTGAATCTGAGTTTCAGGAAGCATGGAGTGTCGCAGTGTAGGGGCTCTGCTGATTGGCTTAAGTAGTCAGCTGATGCTCTAAGCTAATCCGTAGATCCCCATTCATAAAAAGATACGTACCTTTCAAGAACTGTTTAACCCCTCAAGGTAAGAGTGTGCCAGGGGGCCTCTTGGCACTATAATAACTTTATTTAGATTACATTGTTAAGGTGACTGGAGTACCCCTTTAAGATGAAGAGGCAAAAAGCTCAGCTGACTTGAATAATTGTTAGAGTTTGGCTACTGTGACTTAATATTTTAAAACTACTTTGAATTACCAATTTTTTTTTTTTTTTTTATTATTTAGCCTCACTTGGTGCCATCTTTGGAATAACCACCTGTCTTAGTGCACAGATTCGGAATAAACCAGAAGACCCATTGAATTACTTTGTCGGAGGCTGTGCTTCAGGCATCTTTTTGGGGGTTAAAAGTAAGTATATGTACTGTATGTCGTTGGAATAGTGTCTTAAACAACAAATGTCATCTACATATGTTATGTCTGATCAAATAGCCCTGCAACTATATAATACATAATATGTATAATGGACAGCGGTGTAAAACAGTGTTTTTTTTTTTTGTTTTTTTTTTCCTTACCTCCTCCCCCTCATCTTCCCAATAAAATTGCTCGGTTTAATAAATAGTTTTCCCAGTCTCCCTCTCCTCGCCGGCTCAGATTGCATGCATGTGCTGAGCTGGGTTAACAGTCCAATAACAGGCTTCTCTGTAAGAGCCCTGTGATTGGACTGCACAGGACCCTGGTTGTCATCAGGAAGAGTCATGGAAGGCAGCGCCGAGAGCTTTGCTCAGCTGGATTCCAGGTAAGTAACTTTATTTTTTATTTTATTTTTTTTCTCCGGTTCCTGCATCAGTTACGTGGGGGATCAAAATAATAGTGCCCATTAGGGCATTTTAAACAGAACAGTATTGGAGTAACCCTTTAAGCAAATGTGATGAGCTGCATGGGAAAGACACAAAATTACCTGTTTGGTATGACCAAATGGGCAGCAAATCATAGCTAACTTTTAGAATATGATCAAACATTTAAATAATGATGCTGCTTGTTAACAATAGGGTTCTGGAAAAAGTTATAAATACTCCAATCAGAACCCATATCCTGGCTCTGAGATGTGTATGCATTTACTGTATTAGTATGGTTATATCCTGTGGTTTTTGTTTTTTTTTTGTACTGAAAACTAGTTTGGTAATATATTACTAATCTACAATGCGTGCTCAGCAGACGAGATTAGAAATATTGTAAATGCTGTTCAAGTGCGATATAAAGCAAGAGATGTCAAGTGGCAGCGTTTTTTTTTGTTTTTAATGCATCATTGGAACTAGGTTTGTGTGTGAAAATATGGTCTTTCTCTTCACAGCTCACAACTACATGACTGGGACCACTGCATGTCTTGCTCTTGGAACAATCGCTGCCATAGCAAAGATTGGCAAGAAGGAAGGCTGGGTATTCCTCCCATCTGAGCCCAAACTGTGATAATCATTCTCTCCTGTAAAATAACAAAATAAAGCCCTTATATATTTAGATCACGTGTAATTATCTCTCTATGCTAGGTTGCTCCTATCATGAAATGTACCCTAACATTAAAATGCAGAAGAAATTTCAAGTCAGACATTTTACAACATTGGACTGTAGCTGCCCAGTGGTCTATTTAGAATAAACACACTGCACAAGACACAACCTGCACAGTATAATGAAGTATTAATTGGCTGTACACATGGTTAAATGTGGGGATTCAGAATGTTAAATTGTACATTTATGAGAGGCAAGCATGGCTGGGATTACACGTGCTCTTGCGCGTTGCGCCCTTATTTGAAAAAGTCTTTCTTTCAGCTGTCGATACCTGCAAGGGGAAAAAAAAGGGGATTATAGTTAAGAGGAGGACTGACTTACCATTTTGCATAACAGGTTAAGGGTTAAAGGAGAAACCTGCTGCGTTTGTTTTTTTTGTCATGTGCTTCATAGCACACACGGGCAATTTGGTAAATCACCAATGTTTAATATAAATCCAGTGACCGTTTTTTTTTTTTTTGCTGACATTGCTTTGCTCTGAACCAGATGAGCATGTTCATTGTAAGCCATCACATTATTAAATAAATGATATGTAAATTTGGGTAAGATTCTGTATTTTTCTTTATGCAAATCTGTGGCATATTCAGAGCAAGGAATTAATGAAATTTTTTTTTTTTTTTTTTTTTAACTAAAAATAGCTTAACCCCTTAAGGACACATGACATGTGACATGTCATGATTCCCTTTTATTCCAGAAGTTTGGTCCTTAAGGGGTTAAGTAGGGAATGTTTCAAGCTTTTTTTTATTATTATTATTTATTTATTTTTTTAGCATAAAATGTACAATTCCTTGGTGAGAAACCCTGTGAGTGAACACTTTCTGGTGACACTCACCTTTCCGCTGTAATATTGTTTTGGTTCATTCTTTCTGCCTCTTTCACTTTTTCCTCCATAACATGGGCAAGGAGGTGTTCATGTACACGTTCAATATTGTCCAATCGCTGCAGTAACATGCCAATCTCTTCCCTCAGTTTCTCTGGATCTTGGCTAGAGCCCCTGAAATATACCAGCACATGTACAACACTTCCAAACGCAGAAAATGCCCGTAGTAAACCAGCTATGGAACATAAATGGGCAATTGAATATTGTAACTCACCAGTTTGATATATCCTGGGTTACGTTGTGGTTGCAGGCCTGCTCATCCTTGACCAGTTCCTTTAGCTTCTTCAATAATTTTAAATAAAAATTAACAATAAGTGCCATATATTGAAAAGAGCATTTTTTTTTTTTGGTTGTGCAGATATGCATACAGAAAGTGACGATGACATTGTGTGAAACATAATTTCAGACGGAATAAGAACATTGAATGTCATGAGTAAAAACACATTTGTTGTTGGAGAAGTGAAACAATAAGCCATATGCAAGGTTACAGAAATATAGTGACACATGTATAACATTAGTAGTACTTGGTTAGTGAGAGATAAACATCAATTGAGTGCTATCAGATGAGTGCTGGTGTATGCAAACTGAAAAAAAATAAAAATACACTCTTAGGTAGCAAATCGATGTTACTTGAATGTGACCAGTAATCGTGTAAGATTAGGACCTACCTTGATAAAATAAAAGGCAAGTGCAAATACACTGAAGTAAGTATATGGTATGAGCAGTAGCACATTAACTCATGGCCTGCATTGATGAGGGAATTGTGCTAGGTATTTAAATATTACAACTGTCCTCAGGAGGAGGTTTGATTGACTGACTGTGATGATTACTGCCACAGGGAGCCTGCTCGGTATGGGAACGCCCTGGGATTGTGAATGTTATAGTGTCTAATGTGGTGCTAAGTGAGCGCTCCTCGTCATGTGGTGTTGATTAGTAGCAGGGTGTCCCCCCCCTAATGCTGTAGGAAGAGGGTGCTGTTCCCCAATAGAACGCCTGTAGGTTCTGGTACAGCCCCTGTGTAACTTTTTGCGACATGTGTGATGCCTGAAGCTAAGTGGATCAATGTTGCACATGGCCCACCCATAAGCTGGATAGGTGTGGGGTGAGGTTGGTTTGATGCAACTAATGTTCTAGCAAGAGAGCACTATATAATCAGAGCGGGTCATTTTTAGCAAACAAACGAGCAAACAAAAAACCAAAGCAAACAGAAATTAGTAGGTGGTATAGAAAGCTTGTCTCAGTGAGCAGAGACCCGGAACTCAGGTAGTGACTTCTGCGTATGTGTCCTGGGTGCCACTGGATCCCAGGTGTGGGTTACTAAGGCAAGCTGTTGTTTTGAAGAGTGTAGAGAGTCCGGTGGGAGATCCAGTGTACCCAAAAGTGTCTTTGCCTTCTGCAGGTTCTTGACAGGGTAAGAAGTTTCTCCATGGAGCACCATCAAGGTGTGTGACATGCGCCACCGACGTTATGTTGCGTGTACGCAGTAAGGAGGTAAACAGTTGGAGGGACCTCCGCCAAGCCATGGTGCCCCCAGAGAGAACTGTATAGAAAGTGAGGTTCATGCCTTTAAAGGAGTATGGGGAATGACCCCGAATTGCGTTTAGGACTGCGGCATTGTCTTGCCTGCTCTGGAACCGCACTATCAAGTCCGTGGATGCTGTGGCTGGGGCTTGCGCTGGTTTAGGTATCAGGAACATACCATCGAGGTTCACTGATTTTGCCTCTTGGGGGCTAGCATTGTGCCGAACAGACGGTGCAAGAAGTGTGGCAGCTCCGCCTCTGGGGCCGTGTCTGGTAGGCAGTGGACCTTAAGATTCTTGCTGTGGCGAGCGTCCTCCAGTGCCATAAATCTTTGCTCAAAGGCTTATTTCTGGTGTTGTAGAGACTGCACCTCCTGTTGCAGTTGTGCCACCCGTTGCGTACGGCTTCTAGATTCTTGCATTAGGGTTCCCGTGCAGCCGGTCAGGGCCCGGATGTCTTTCCGGATGTCAGCCACATCAGCCTGGATATGGCCTCTGAAATCCGCCACCAGTTCCTGCATGATGGCCTTTGTAACCGGGGACGAGTCTGACTGTGGCAGTGTCGACATAGGCACCAGTGGGGCAGGTAAGTATATTTCCTCTGTTCCCAGGGCTGGATCATCAGAGATGTCCGATTCTTCAGCGAGGTAAGCAGCCATCTTGTGCTCAAGGCAACCGCATGTCTGCTTCCAGTGAAAAGAGCATATTAGACTCCTGGTTGTATTAAATATGCATGTTGATTGTTTAACCCCTTAAGGACACATGACACGTGTGACATGTCATAATTCCCTTTTATTCCAGATAACTACAGGATAAAATTGCCCCTTCCCCCCCCATTTTTTTTTTTTTTTTGCATTATATAGACATTAGTGAAATAAAGTATGAAGAAATACACCAGGACAAATGGAATTGTTCACTTAAGGGTGCAGCAGATTATATGACTGCTATCCGTTATAGGACCACTATAGTGCCAGGAAAACAAACTCGTTTTCCTTGCACTATATGGTCTTTAGGTCCTCCCCCACCCTCAGGGTCCCCCTCTCGCCGGGATATATGGGTTAAACAAACACTTAAAAAACAAAGTAATGGGACAGCGCTAAAGAGTCAATAGAAGCTAAAGGACAAATGGGGGAGCAGCAACCTATAAAAATGAGGTTCCCTCTCTATTCCTCAAATAAAAGGACAAACAAAAGAAAATATATAGGTTGTGCTATATGGTAGTGGTTATAGAAGTAAATATAGAATGGGATAAGACAAAAGTATAAATAACTAGGAAAGATGATCCCAATACTAAAAAGTCTTTAATAAAACCTGTGATGATACTGGAGTCTGGAAAAAGTCCAAAAAGTAGCTGGATCTTCTTATGTTGACGGTGTCTCAGTTCAATGGTGGATATATGGGCATGTAAGAAAAACGAAGAGACTCCAATAGTGCAGATTGTAATTCAGCAAATAGGTAGATAAGCAATTCTGCTATGAGAATTGCTTATCTACCTATTTGCTGAACTACAATCTGCACTATTGGAGTTTGGACTTTTTCCAGACTCCAGTATCATCACAGGTTTTATTAAAGACTTTTTAGTATTGGGATCATCTTTCCTAGTTATTTATACTTTTGTCTTATCCCATTCTATATTTACTTCTATAACCACTACCATATAGCGCAACCTATATATTTTCTTTTGTTAAACAAACACTTACCTTTCTCAAGAGGTTAAACAAACACTTAACCTTTCTCAAGCGCCGGGCTCCCTCGGTGCTGGGGATTCTCCCCCCTCTTCCGACGTCAAAAGCCACGTGCGCATTCAGTCAGTCGGTAGGAAAGCATTACTCAATGCTTTCCTATGGACGCTGGCGTCTTCTCACTGTGAAAATCACAGTGAGAAGCGCGGAAGCGCCTCTAGCGGCTGTTCCCTTTTAACAATAAATACATTCAAGGGAGACCAAGTTGCAGTTGGTGATAAAATCTAGTGGGAGATTTTACTGATGAAGGGGTATTATAAATAATAGATTTGTGTTGCTCACTGACGCTCAGAAAATAATTCACTTGTGAAGCTAACTAAACATGTATTTCTCCAGCTTTTCAAAAATGTTAATTTCATGTATTGTAGACTTGTCAAAAGAATTTACAGAAAAGGGGACCGCTTGTCTACTCAACTAAGTTGTTATGGTGTCTGGAGTTCCCCGGTGCTGTCCACCCTTACATTGTTAAACTGTGTCGTAGTGAAGTAGTATTCCCAGGTGCTGGTCTGTTGCCTCTCTTCCTGTGCTCGGCTAATCATCAGTTTGAGCAGCGAAAAGATGGCAGTGATAAATTGAGAACGTTCACTGATCCTCTCTGCCGATCACTACCACTCCTTCAAACTAATGCTTCAGCAGACTGGCACTAGAAGAAACTTTGTCTGTGTTAAACCATTTAAAAACCGTTTAACACTTAAAGGGACCCAATAATCACCAGAACAACTACAGCTTATTGGAGTTGTTCTTGTGTCTATACCATGTCCCTGCAGGCCTTTTGGTGAAAGCACTGCCTTTTCTCTGCATAAAGATGATGAACTTTTCTGATTGGCCAGGACTGTTTGGCTCCGCCTCCTGATCCACCTCCTTCTGATGATGGGAAAGCATTGTGATTGGCTGAGATTATCACTTCTGGAAAGATTTTACTATATTTAGGGGAGCAGATAGTGATTTTTTTTTTTTTTTTTAATATTTTTCTAAGTTTATTTATTCCTATGCAGCTTCTTTTTTTTTTTTTTTTTTTTATGATTGCACTAATTTATGTTCATTGATCTCACTGGAACAACCACCATACGTACAGAACAGTAGCTGTAAAATAATAATAACTTTGAGTGAAAGTTGTGAATTCTGGGAAATCATACTAATAGAAAATGGAGCAACTTTCGAATGAATATGTATAAATGTATATACACACACATACACAGAAAAACTACTGGGAGCTTAAAATAAATATAAAAGCTATAAAAGTAAATGTATGTTGGCAAGCTGGACTTCATCTTTCCTAACAATTTACATTGCAAATTTATGCATAGCTTCAAAATATCTTAGTATGAGATTAATTTATGATGTATGTCCTGTTTCCTAATGGCAGGGGTTTTTTTTTTTTTTTTTTTGCAGTGCATATCAGTTTAACATCCCCGCATGAGGTATCCCAACGACATTCCTCAAGCGTATTTGGAACATATATATATAACAGTTGGGTCAGCTATAAAACATGCACAATTTTATAATTATGTGATGAGCAAATTGTTGGATTCGTCACTTAGCTTATGTGGCTGGTGCTATAGCAAGTATCAACATCTGTATCGAACATAAACTTTCAAGTTTAACTTTGATTATCTAGCTTAGAGTGATATACAGGCTAGTCAAACGTGGAATTGTCTAGGTCTACATATGCTTATTCCTTCAGTGTTTCACTACCTCTTCTAAGCAATATAATAGGAGTTTGCTTGAAACCTGAGTCTGCATGTGTGGTTTATATTATATTCATAACAAGAGTATAAACAGACGCTTTTAAGAAGTGCTAGCTTAGTTAAGATAGGTGTTTAAATGAAATGCAACCAGGTTGATTTTGGCATAGTGAGTTATCATCTGCATTACCCTGGATGCCCAAACCGACAGTTACTGTGACATGAGCTGTGATTATAATTACAGAGATGTCCATGTATCGGCAAGTATCGCCAGGGAGTTATCTTTTAAGGCTGTCGTGAGTTCCGCAGTGCACTCCTTGGCTGCCTTTCGTCCCGAGGAGCTGGGATCGTCGTTGGTTGAGAGGCATCCTGTTCCCAGGCTTGGGGGTGACCCTCGCGGAGTACCCAGGCGTTCCACTGTATTCCGCAGCCTCATTTCGATCAAAGTGTCCTCAGATCGCCGTGTCCACAGTACCCGGTCAGTAGGTGAGTACGGGTGCGGTGCTTTGCAGCCCATAGTGTCCAGATACAGGTAGCGATATGCTGGGGTTGGTGTTTGGTAAGGACCTCTCCGGGCTCTCCTCCAATGTTGGTCTGTGGGTTTGGTGGTAGGAAGCGAGTTAATCGCGCCGCTGTCGGCCATTTTGTGAGGGCCGCATGGTAGCCTTAGACTGTCGGCGCTGGGTCACCCAGGCTTGCCGCCAAGATGTTTGCTTGCCTGGTGGGGACCGGGATAACCCCCGCCGGTCCAAAGGGGGGGGTGAACGGAGCCGGGAGGGCTCCATTTGCGTTGCGATTCTCATTACCCGGGGCGGAGAGCGAGGCAGCGGCCGTCTGCTCCACTCCCCTCCCGTGTAGGCCTCAGTCCACCAGCCCCGGGGCATCTCACCAGGACCCAGAACCACCCGGTGTCAGGTGCTCTAGCTGCACTGGGACACTCCAGGAGCATATACCACAAATTTCCAGGGCATTCCAAGTTGAGTAAGGTGGGTTTTGTCACCATTATTAGCTGGATTCCTCAGGAGCCATAGTGACTTGCAGCCTGCTAGCATGGCCGCCCGGCCCCGCCCCCCCCAGATAGTGATTTTAACACTATAGGGTCAGGAATACATGTTTGTGTTCCTGACCCTATAGTGTTCCTTTAAAGATAACAAGATGCCAGGGGACTCCAGGCACTAGTTATGGTACCCAGATGGCTTAAATCATGCTAAAAACAAAGCCATACCAGATACAGTTTAGCAAAACAATGACACTGGGTGGATGAGTTCTCCTTTTTGGCATTTTTTTTCTTTTCATACACTTTAGAGCTTTTATAGTGAACATGTAGCTTTCAGCTTTTGAGTTATGTTTATGATCCTAGGTCCACAAATGGTCCACAATGACTGGTGTACTGAAGACAATCACTAGTCTGGACTTTGTTGTACACTCTTACAGCTGTACCAAACAACGATTACAGTTTGGAGTCACTTCCACCACCCTTCATTTTTCTTCAGTGTATCTGCTTTATTTATTTATCATGTGATGCTATTTCTAACTAGAGTACTATATTTCATAGAAGGGGGGTGCACCTAATATACCAGCTACTAAGCATGTCTACACATAATTTTCTTTATACATTACATGTTCAACTTCCTCCAGCCCTTGCATGTTTTTTGTTTTTTTTCCTGGGCCCTTCGATGGCACTATATAAATAACATAATAATAATAAATAACCCCACAAAATGTTCCTTGTTTTGCTTACCTCGTCTTGCTTCTCAAGCAAACGAGTATCTGTAGGGAGAAGAAACAAATTGGTCTGTACCTCGTGTGGCAAACACAGGAAAGAAAATAGAATCCAGCAGTACAAAATCTAAGATGTGTGCCAGATAGGCATGTGCATGGGCAACAAAATTTGGTTCGGAAATTCGGGTAAGTAAAAAAATTAGTCTGCTATGGCAATTCGGACCAATTGTTACTACCAAACTTTGGCAATTCGGAACTTACACATATATAAGGCTCCCAGTGCCAGGAGTGCCACCACAACCACATCTATAGGGCTCCCAGTGCCCGGACTGCCACCACAACCACATCTACAGGGCTCCCAGTGCCCGGAATTAGCTAATTGGTCAAGATTACTGTCATCATTCACATAATTTTCCCTCCCTCTCTCTTTTTTTTGCCACTTTTCAGAAATCCAAAGCACTTTGGAACTTTGACAATTCGGGCCAATGTCATTCGGTTCAGTTCTCCCGAACTTCAGACATTCGTAATCATCCAAATGTCCGAATTGTATGAAATTCGTCCAAATTTACATTCGGAACGAAAGAATTGCACATGTCTAGTGCCAGATGTTACTTGAAGAAGTTCATGGTTAAAAAAAAAAAAAAAAATTACAACACACATACACAAGACTATACATATGACAAATTCTATTCAGCACACCAAATTGTTATATCAACGTAGAGTCATTGATAAGTATCAATCATGTAGACATTTACTGCTGATAACATGTCACAGTCAGGTGTTGAAAGGGTCACTCTAGTCCTTTTCAGTATTACCCGATTTACTGCGAGCTTTTGTTCTAGTGGCAACTAGTGAAGTTTAACATGGTGCCCCCACACACCAAGTTGTTGGGCCCTGCCTACTTAACGCCATAGACAATATATTATGCCCTGTTCAGCCATAAAGCTAAAGATACTTGTATTTGAGAAACAGCAGCTTTAAAGAGGCCCAGCTACACCAGTGGTGGAACTAAAGTACAGAGGGTCCTGGTGCAAGAATTCTTTGGGGGTCACCTATCGCCAGGATGGAAAAAAGGTAGATCCCGGTCTGTCGTACAACTCCCACAATGATTTATCTACCATTTTCCCATACTTGCAGAGTTACACTTGGCGCTGAGCAGTGTTTGTATGTGAGCATGTTTTGTATGTAGTATGTGTGTGTAAATGTAGGGTTGCATATGTGTTATGGAGTGTGTTTTTATGTACTGTTGTCATTTGAAAGCAGTGGTTTACTTGAGTATAGTGTTTTCCTTTGAATGTAGAGGGGTATCTGTATGTGTTGATGTTTAAATGCAGGGGTGGATTTGTGTGTAGTGTTGCAGACACAAACAGTGACACACATACACACACAGATACACAGATAAATATACTGACACACAGATAGATACAGAGCCACGGATGCAAAATACATATTGAGTCACCCTTCTGTTTCCTACCTTCTGGGTTCAGTGGAGTATTTCCCTGGGTCCTGTTGGCTGGCTGAAGCTGTTGGGAATCAGAGGCTCTCCCACTCCACCCCCCTCTGCCTTTTCCTCCCGTACGGATTTGTGTTATCTGGCAGGAAGTGACCGGCTGTCACTTCCTTCCAGCGCTGCCATTATATTATTGCAGGGGCCCGATGGCACTGTTAAAGGGCCACAGCACTGAGCAGGCGCCTGAAAACACTTTGCTATCAGGTTGCCCTGTGCATGGGCCATCTGATGGGCCCCCTGAGCGTGTGCGGACCCCAGTGCAGCCACACCAACGCTAGTTCCACCACCGAACTCCATCTAATAATGCTGCTACTAAATGACAGCCCTAAAAGACAATACGCAGACCTGTCTTTTAGAGCATCCAGGATGTGACAGCCCCATGCAAAACAAATGGCAGATGTCAGAAATCCTCTTAGAGAAGACTAAACATGTGTAAGGGATCTATACACAATAAAGTGTGGGTTTTTTGTCCCTTTCAGCAGCATCTTGAGCCTTCAATAAAGCGGAGATGTAAATTGCAGATAGAATCATGAAATACACCTTTTTTTTTCTATACTTATTAGTCCTTACCATTCCAATAGATAGGATTTTTTTTTTGATTTTTTTAAAATAGACTATTACCATCTCAGAGTCTGTGTATTCAATATATGGTATATTCCAATCTCAGAGTCCCCGTGTATTCAATATACGGAATATTCCCATCTCAGAGTCCCCGTGTATTCAATATACGGAATATTCCCATCTCAGAGTCCCTGTGTATTCAATATACGGAATATTCCCATCTCAGAGTCCCCGTGTATTCAATATACAGAATATTCCCATCTCAGAGTCCCCATGTATTCAATATACAGAATATTCCCATCTCAGAGTCTCTGTGTATTCAATATACAGAATATTCCAATCTCAGAGTCTGTGTGTATTCAATATACAGAATATTCCCATCTCAGAGTCCCTGTGTATTCAATATACAGAATATTCCCATCTCAGAGTCCCCGTGTATTCAATATACAGAATATTACCATCTCACAGTCTCTGTGTATTCAATATACGGAATATTCCCATCTCAGAGTCTCTGTGTATTCAATATACAGAATATTCCCGTCTCAGAGTCTGTTAATTCAATATACAGAATATTCCCATCTCAGAGTCCCCGTGTATTCAATATACAGAATATTCCCATCTCAGAGTCCCCGTGTATTCAATATACAGAATATTCCCATCTCAGAGTCCCCGTGTATTCAATATACAGAATATTCCCATCTCAGAGTCCCCGTGTATTCAATATACAGAATATTCCCATCTCAGAGTCCCCGTGTATTCAATATACAGAATATTCCCATATCAGAATCTATTCAATATATTGAATTTTGTCATGTCCCTGTAGAGTCCCTGTGTAGCCATTTAGGTAAGAAACACATTCACACTACAGAAACCTATTTAAATTAATTTAGTCACTTGACATTAAAGGTATATAATTGTATATAACTAATGAATACTTTTGATTGTGGTGAACACACACACACAATATAAAATAAAACTATTACGTGATTCCACCAGGCTCCGGTAGTTTCCCATTTGAACTTTGTCTCTCCTTTTTAGCTCCCGTCTGATTTGCTGTTTCCATGGTAACTCCATAGTGCCCATCACTGGCTTGTCTCTTGCCTGCTTCACATCAGACTCTGCCCTTTAACTTTCCCAACCGGAAGTCGCCTGTCCGCCATGTTGGTACTCCCAAATCGCATGTGCGGAAGTGCTGCACTGTCTTTGTAGTGAATGCTGCTGCTTCTAAGAAGGGGGTAAGCTGATCAAAGAATTGCGGACCTTTAAGGTATTGTTTGATTTTTTTAATATCTATTTTACTGCCTTTATAACGTATAGAGGCAATATGTGTAGATATCCTTAATGTCTCTATAAAGTTACTGCATATATCCTGCATTGTATATTCTTATGCATAAACTAAAGTGGTAATATATCAAATTGTCATCTTCAGTGAAGCTTTAAACAAGCTATGCTTTGGTTACTAGACTATGGTTCTATTCACATTGTTATTTGGATGTTTGTGGTGCATTGTTATACATAATTAGAGGCAATATAATAGTCCAGGCTTTTCAGTAAACTGGGCTTCTGGTTTGTTGCTGCCCACCGTTCTGTCATTTACTGCCCTTTGGGCTATATCCGGGTCATGTACTAAAGTGACTTTTAAATGAAAGCTTTATTCCTGGCACTAAATTTCCCTTGCACACTCCCTGCCGTGGTCATTAGAAGGTTAAAAAAACGACGTCTCTTGGCGCTGGTTTGCAGCTCCTCCTTCTCCAACGAGCAAATGCTGCGCACGCATTAGACCTCACTACAGGAAAGCATTGAATCAGTGTGTTCCTATGGGGGAAAATCTGTCCGTTTGGATGCAGGAAGTGCCTCCAGTGGCTGTCTGGTAGACAGCCACTGTGGGCAGACTTAGTGCTGCAATGTAAACATTGCCTTTCTCTGGAACTGCAATGTTTTGCATTGCAACACTAAGTGCAATAGGGCCATTGCACACAGACCACTTCAATTATCTGATTACGTACCTTGTTTCTAGTGCCAAGACTCCTTCACTGCAGCCGACCACTCCACCTTGTGGATGTCAGCATGTCTGCCGATTTCTTCCACAATCTACTCCAATCCAATGCTTCTCATAGAGACGCATAGAATTAAGATACACATGCACATCGAAACGCTGTACTCTAATCAAATGCTGTAATAGGCAGCATTTTATTTCAGGGCCGAGTTTCACTTTGTCTTTGAGGAGGTAGTATTTCCAGTGCTGTCAGGAAAATGGGCAATAGAGGTTAATTTACCTCTGCAATGTACGCATTGAAAGTTCTAAAACTACAGTGTTTTACATTGCAGGGTGAAAATCACAGGACGACTGCACCCAGACCACTTCATAAGATGAAGTGATGGTCTGGGTGTCTTTAGCGGTCCTTTCATTTCAATTCCTAAACAACTGCTGTGTTGGACCAGAACCCAAAAGAGAGCCTTCTGATGTACATTGTGCAAATGAATGGGTCAAAGGTAACATTTTGTTTTCTTATTTACTTTTTTGCCTAGTAATATGGCAGGCAAAACATTTGTATGCATGTGTTTAGATATATTTACACCCACCACAAAATAAAAATTAAAGTGCTTAGGGGAAATAGTACAGCGGAAACTTGTCAGAATTTCGGATCCGGATTGCCCTTTTGGGAGGGATCAGTCTGATATGCAAATCGTATAGGTTCTCTCTGTAAAGTAAACAAAACCATTTTTGAGAACTGAGGGGGAATAACTGAAGGGCAAGCTATTGAGGTTTATCTGAGTATTTGCCTGTTCTCACGTTTCTCATATTCTCAGCTTTTGTTACAATGCATTAACTTGGGTTCTCCCTAAGTCTAAAGGGTAATCCTGACGAGTATCCCGTGCTCACTGTGCCTACAGGGATATCGGCTACACCTCACTTATGAGATTTAAAGAAGGACAAAACAATCAACCAGTGTTTTTGTTGCAAATAGTTTCCTTTGAACCTGAAAATATACATATACATTGCTCTATCATGCCAGGTGCTGCACCTTGCCATCTTTTCTTCCACACCCTCATAGCTTACTCCATCACCCGTCCACCCCTCACTTCACTGTCCACTGGTTTTCCCCTTTATATTTTCCTATTCTACTCCAGCTCCTCTTCCCAGACATCTTGTGGTGATGAAAGTGAACTTTAGGAGGCTGAAGTAGCAAAATGCTTGCATAGTAGCGCTTTATAGGCAAGCATACAGAATAAAATGGTAATTCAATAATCATAAAATACAAGTAAATGCTTGGTCTATAAGCATTTGAGCTTTCTTTACTTTCATTCACAGTTCTAATAGACACTTTATGAATCGCCCAAACATACTTACGAGGAAATGAATTAATGCTTCTCCAAATACTGCGATTGATAACATTCCAAACCGTTACACGCTGAAGAATGTTGCTCGACTAATATATCTTTTATCTGTTAATAAACATCTGCATTTTAGAGGTATCATTTTATTTCTGCACTACATAAAAATCATCAAATAAGCTGGATAACCAAAGTTTTTTGTGTTCCGGTGTTTTACAGCTTTGATTCATCCACAGAGTCCTGGATCTTAAGCAGTCTGGTTAGAGAGATTTACCGTACAGATGGCCACATACAGTCTTGCAAATGAGAGACTGCGTGTCTTAGAGGAGATTGAGAGGGAAATTTCCGCCATCTTGATGAGTGCAGGTATTGAGTTGGTTGTGGGTGGTGTTCTATGTTATTGTGTTGAGGCAAACAATTTGGGGTTGTAGCATACACTAAATGCTAAACGCTGTTTGCCATCTGTCCTTATTTCAAAGGAAATGTCATTTTGGAACTTTCCAAGGAGAAGCCAAACGAGCGTGTTCTTGACCGTCAAGCATCTCAGTTTACAGCCTCTGTCCAGAAAGTGGAATCTGAATTGTCTGGACAAATTCGCTACCTTACTCAGGTAGGACCTTTCAGGGGTTAAATATACTGGAGCTGTGCTCTGTAAGGAAAAAACAAATGTAGGACAGAGAGGGGAAAGGGGGGAGATCTTATGTTTATTTGCTTTGAACATAAAAGTAAAATTTCAAACTTCACTGCAAATACAACATATTGAAACAATATGTGTTGAGAAACATTAAAATAGAGTGGGCCTTTGAAAGAAAAAAAACATACACACATCTGTGTCCTAAGTGACTGGTGTATGTGAAGTCTTCTACTTTTAAAGTGTTTTTTTGTAATTTTTATGGTTCGTTGTTGTTGCAGGAATCCGCACACATGCAAATATCGATGAAACGCTAGTATTCTCTATGATCTCAAAATCAACACAGCATAACAGCTATGCAAGATAACTAATGAGTAGTTTCCTTTTTTGAAGAGTGATCTGGAAGATCATTTCATTCCAAATATTACTATTTTTTTAGAATATAAGTCAGGGGTGTTAAGCTTTGCTCCTTGCAGCTTTTAAATCCTGTCTCCTCTAATTTAGCTGTTTGTTGTCAGAGGTTTTGTGAAATGCAGTCAATGATATGTTTAGCCTTTTTGTTAACCTAGACTCTTACTGACTTTTCCCCTCACAATATAATAACATGCCAGAAGTTAAACAAGTCTCTTGTTGATGTAAATGCAAGTTGTATGTTTGGTTAGCTGTGTATGTGACTGGAAAAGTAATGCATGTGTTTAGGGAAGCAGGGGTACCTGTGGATAAACAAATGCTGTTAATGCAACACCCAGCATCATTTAAAGGAACACTGTAGGGTCAGAAATACAAATGTTGTATTCCTTTCCCTAAAGTGTTAAACCATGTTAGCCTCCTTTTCCTATGGGAAAGCATTTGATCGGCTGAGATCATCCATTTTAATGATCTCAGCCAAAGAAGGCAGATCGGGGCGGAAAAAGCACCAGCATAACCGCTCGGTGCTGAGAAAAAAAGGTATGTTTTCTGATCAATTCTGATGATCTCAGCCAACTAGGCTGGGTGGGGGCGCAGCCAGACCACCCTCTGGCCAGACAACCTCTCCTCATAGAGATGCATTGAATCAATGTCTCTCTGCATGGAGATGCTGAATTTTCCTTATAGAGCGGGAAGATGCTGCACATTGTGCAGCACTGACCCAGAAATTATGTCTAGTAGCTGTCTCAGTGACTGCCACTGGAGGTGTTCCAAGGGAGCAATGTAAACACTGCCTTTTCTCTAAAAAGACCTGTGTTTAAAGTAAAATGCCTGCAGGGACAGGCTATAGACATCAGAAAACTACATTAACCCCTTAAGGACCAAACTTCTGGAATAAAAGGGAATCATGACATGTCACACATGTCATGTGTCCTTAAGGGGTTAAGCTGTAGTTGTGGTGACTATAGTGTCTCTTTAAAATATTCGTACTAAGTAAAGTCTTCTTAAATGTTTTCAACTGGTCTGGAATTGCTGGATTTACCATATTTATATGTACTGAGCTCCAAATGTCTCTTGATTGACTTATTTATATAATTTTATTTCTTATTGATCTAAAGGTAGCTACCGGGCAGCCACACGAAGGCTCAAGTTACAGTGCTCGAAAGGATGGCACAATGGCTCTCAACAGGATTGACTACGCCAGGGTCAAGCTGGCAGAACTGAGCAGGACTTGTGAGCAGATGTTAGAGCAACCCTAAGAAAAAAAAACCTAGCTTTGCCTATTCACGTTCGGATAAACAGGATATTATAGAGGGTGGTTTACAAAAGTTTCACTAGGAAAAAAACATGGCAATATTGTGAAAGTAAAGCTATCACCATGGGAATCAAATAGTCGCAAAGGGACGTTCCATTGATTATTTTCATAGTGATCACTCCACTTTTGGAACTTTCCCCCAATTTACTGTTGGCTACTTTAAATAACCATCTTTCTGCCTTGTAAAACATAAACAGACTGATTAAAGCCACTTTCTTTTATAAAGAACAGGATATCTGTAACCTTCTAAATAGCATATTTGTGTTATTTAGAAACGTGAACAACATTTTAATTTCCTGTGTTTTTTGTTTGTTTTTTTGTTTTTTTATTACAACTGTAACAAGTTCTTATTGTAAATAAATTTGTCATTTTGAATTTGTTACCTCATATTGTTTTGTTATTTGGTACCTCGTGTTTTGCCTGTCCTCTCCTGGGCACCTAATTGGTTTCTCTCTTTAATCCTTAATCTCTTTTTATTATGAGGATAATATAAATTCTATTACTAAAGGAAGATGGTTTATATTGTGTCAGGACACAAATGGTTCATATCTGAATCTAAAGATTCCATCCACCAAAATAAATAATACCTTTCTGCTGCCATGGGGGGTGGGGAGGGGAGGAGTGGGTCTCATGTACTTGTGTGTGGTTGGACCAGAACTGTGCTTGTGAAAAGTACGGGAACTCCTTAACGTGCCAGGGTAGTAGATTGTAACGTGTAAGTGGGTTGCCCCAATAAGCATGCCTGTGTTAATCCTAAAAAGGAAAAGGTTTGAAATGAGTCCAGGAACTAACATTTAAACTGAAATAAAAAAAATAGAACTGTTTCGTGGGAAGTCTCTGTAAGCCTCAGGATGGCAAGAGACTCTCAGTCCCGTTATACTACTTCCTCTCCGGGTGAGAGTGCGATCAATCAGGTTACGGCTCTGTCAGGTGGTGTAAGCATTGCGGCTCGAGATGTAAATTCCCGGATCCGTGCTGGGTCTAATTTGAACAGGCCAGGTCCAGCAGCTCTTGATGCCCTGTGGAGGCCCAAGTTGCGTAGATGATTCTCGAGTTCCTGGTAGGTAATCGCTCTGTAGTTTCTCCCCTGAGCCATGAAGAGAAGGGGCCTTGGCAGCCCCCATCTGCATGAGATACATCCCGTTCGCAGTGTCAATACTAGAGGCTTCAGGGATCTGTGCCATCTCAAGGTGTGTCGTGAGATCAGGAAAAAACTGTTAGTTGGAGCCATCAAAAGTAATTTGGGACTTCCCCCGCACAGCTGCTTGAAGTTGGGCCTTGTCCTGCAGGAATTGGAAGCAGACGATTAGGTCCTGTGTTGCAGAGGGTGACATCCCTGTTGGTTTGGGCAGACGGAACATCCAGTTTTATTGTCTTGGCCTGCTTCAGTGGTAGGTATGCAGCAAGGAATCTCCGAATTAAGTGGGGTATGTCAGCCATTCCAATGGTCTTTGGGATGCCCCTAATCTTGGTACTGTATTTATGACTGTGATTTTCCAGGGCGTCTGCTCTGTTTGCGGTGGTCAGTTGTTGCTGCAGGAGTTCTTCCAGCTTGTGTTCCACTGTGGAGAACCTGGTATTGTGGGCGCTATGTGAGGGCCCCAGCTGGGTGAGTTTTGTGGACACTCCTTCCATAGTCTTTTTGAGTTGAGCCATGTCCGCCGAGATATTCGTGCTGAGTTCAGCCAACATTAGTTTTGAGCAGTGTTGCGGTGACCAGATTCCTGTCCTCAGTCGGTGGGGGTCCAGGTCCTATTGTTTGACTCTGCTCTCGGTTCTAGTGAGAAATCCTCTGAGGAGTATGAGGCTTCGTCTTCAAGGAGCGCTATTTTGTCCCATGCGGCCTTCTGAGAATTGCAGAACAAGTCTCCAATACCTCTGCCCTTCTATCGGCACTTCTTTTTAATTTTTCCATCCCATGGCTTGTCAGCTGTTGAAATAGATGTGGATGGCACAGGTGGGTATATATTTTTTTTTTTCCTCCAAAACTGGTCTTTTTTAGGCAATTCTTCACAGAGCAGATAAGAAGTGCAACTGCTCTGGAACTCGGCAAGCTGCACCTCCCACTTTTCTTACTTTTTATCTGTCTAAGGAGCCATTTTGGGTCAGATTCTATTGTTATCTGACCAACCTAACTTGCTTGCTGCTGCAACTACTTTTTGTGAACCTGCAGCAGCCGGCAAGTTAGGCTAGAAATTCACAAAACAAGGCTGCTCAGCCAGTTAAAAAAAAAAAAAAAAAAATCAATCTACATCATTAAAAACTAAAAATAATTGTTTCACCAAATATAACAAACTTGAAAAACGAGAAGTAATACATTTATTAACGATTTGTTCTTTTTAAAGGAGCACTCTAAAGACCATAACCACCTTTTCTCAGTGAAGTGCCAAGTCTTACTTTCTGGAGTTAAACTGTTTCTCATATACTGTAAAAGAAATAATCTCCCAAGATGTGCCCATCTGCTGCCTCTAATTTTCTGCTCCAGCTAATTATCCAGTCTCCTTAAACTATCTTGCCTTCTAGTGTAGCTCCATTTTAGGCATAGTGTCCCCAGATGATCGTCTGCTGCTTTGGTTAATGTGGAAACATTAGCTTGAGCAGCAAGGGGGCAGCAGTGATGAGCATAGTGTCAACTGACACTCACACTCTTACTGGCTGCCCATCCCGAATAAACATAAATTTTTAACCCTTACTGGCAATGAGCGGCCAATGATAAGCTGAGTTTATGCTGACTCCGTGGAAACATTGCTCAAACCTACTCCTCAGTATGTCCAGGAGAGTGAGGTCAGCACTCGCGCAAGCCATTCAAATGCATGTGCCATAGGTTGCGACCCCTGCTGTAAGACAAATCACTGGGCCACATTTTATTTGCAATATTCCTCTTACTCACTCTTACTTGTGTCATTTTGGTCTTGTTCGTTCTTAAAATGATGCAATTTGTGATCTTGGTACTTGTATTTCTTTTTTCTTTTCCCCCAAGTCCTTCAAATCAAGAATTGATGCTTGATGATAACCTCAGGGCTTGGTCCTGTTTAAACCCTGGCCTTCTTTGGACCAGTATCCTTTTGTGTTTTCATAGTCCATAAAGACAGTTGTAGTCCTGGTTGATTTTGTTCTGGTTCTGGACCTGGCAAGTTTTGTTTCTAATTCTAGTTTCCCTAACACAGAGTACTCACTTTGTATATTTGGAAACAAGCTAGTGTGACTTGGTTTTGGGCACATTGACTTTTACAGTTCTGTTTATGCTGTGTACTCTTTGATACTCTTTGTCATTTTGGGAATTTGCATTCTGAAACTCATTAGCATATTTATGATCTATTCTTAACTGATACTGTATAATCTTTAATATTATAACCCATTCCACATTTCTTCAACCCGTGAGCAAATACATAATACCATAAGAAGAAGAATCAGGCCCTAGTAAATTTTATAAAATATTTTTTTTTTTAGGAAAGTGTTTTCAATACATAAGGAGTCCCGATCGGCATGTGCCTGCTGGCTCCACTGGTATCCACAGTGTGAGCAAAAACATTTTTAAGACCGGAGTGTGGACTAACCGCTGCAGAGTTTCTTTAAGCTTTTGCCAGTTCTCATTACTTTGCACCGTTTTTAGAACATAACACTAAATCTCACCGATGATAATACCTTGGAGAATGTTGCAGATTAATCTTTATGATATTTTGTATTCTGCTAAAGTTTTACTGTTTTATTTATATATATATATATTTTATTTGTAGATTACATAAATCCATCTGAATTTCTCTGCTTCAAATATTCATTGATAGTTTAGATTTTTCTGCATGCTCAAATCTTTTATAATTTTCGCAAAAGAAAAAAAACCAACAACTTTGTATAACATAATTTAAAATACCCTTTTTTTGATTGTTTAGTTTTTGTTTTTTTAACTTAATTTTCTTCACATTTGGTATATAGATCATGCCCTGCTGTTACACTGCTCAGGTCTATACCATTTTAGGAGTTGCATAATAACCTAAAACTCAAATTGATTAATTTTAAGCACATCATTGTTGATTCAAAAGAAATTTAAAAAAGCACAATTTGAAGCAATGGACTTCTTAATGTGAATTATATCCTTACATAAAATAGATTATTTAGTTTTTTTTCCCCCAAAAAAATCTATACCTTTTTAACAAAAATCGGCAGAATCTCACTCCCATTCCACTTCTTTATTGTTCTTACTGTAAAGAACAGTGTTAATTTTGATGGCAAATTTCTATTTAGTTTTAGTCGTATTTTAGTCATCTAAATTGTTTGTTTTAATCTAGTTTTAGTCGACTAAATCTCCTGTAGATATTAGTCGACATGACTAAAATCTAATTGGTTTAGTTAAAGTGTAATACATTTTTAAAGTATAACTTCCAAACTCATTTCCCCCAGCCCCCTATGTGTCTCAATCCATCAGCCCCCCCTTGTGCCTCAATCCCCCAGTTCTCAATGTGTCTAATTGCCCTCAGCATCCTCCTATTTCTAATTTCCTCCTCCATGTGTCTTTCCCTCTCACCCTCCATATGCCAGCTCACCTCCCTGCTACTGCATAGCATGGCCGAGTGCTGACCGCGGGAGAGGAGCTTATTTCCCTCTCTGTGGTTGGACAAGAAGCCGTTTGGTGCTCTCAGCGACCTATCAGACCTGGGAAAGGAAAATAAGCTCCTCTCCCATGGTCAGCACTTGGCCACGCTACATACTGAGACCGGCAGGAGGGGAGTGCTGTGCAGTGTGCTTTCCTTGTGCCGGTCACCGGAATCCTGCGCACTCCAGCCTGTGGGCCCTATGGCAGCCGTGTGTGCCGCCTTATGATAGTGCTGGCCTGGTGAAATTTTCATTGCATTTCTGTTCGTTGATGAAAATTGCAATGAATTTTCGGCATAGTTTTTGTCCTTGTAACTAATTTTTATGTGGTTATAGTTTGGTTTTCGTCGCTGAAAACAGCTGACGAATATCATGATGAAAATGTTATGAAATTAACACTGGTAAAAAAAATAAATAAAAAACCTTTCCTCTGCATTAAGCGGAAAACACCTTTCTTCCAGGCTCAATGGATGACGTCTTGTCTGCTGTATGTCCTTGCATATTAACAGGTTAACAGATAGCGGTTTGTGCTGATAATGTATGTTTTTCTATAGTGCTATCATATCACCTTTGAGATGCTTTGTTATAAACAAAAACAGATGCAATTTTTTGAGCCTTCCTTCATTAACAATTAGTGAATTTTGTAGCTCGTCTCTACACTCTATTTCTGTAATATTCTTCTTTAAAACTCAACCCAAGCCTGCACCACATATTCAAGGTGGGGTCACGTCAATTAACACCACGTTTATATGTGAGAGCACCTTTCTAGCCTTTGCAATGGCAGACCAACATAATATTTTTCAATATAATTGTTCCCAATCCCTTTCAGTTTAATATGATTCCTACCTCAACTACATTTATAGGGTTATTCAGTAAATTGAGAAATAAATCGGAATTCAAAGTTAATTTAAAAATTAAGAACAAAATACCAGAGAGAGCTACAATTTCAGTTCAGCGACTTTGTCTTAAATTTGAAATTCCAAAAACTTTAGTAAAAACCCTGTTAATGTATACGTTTCTTGTGGACTCCTTATTCCAAATGCATACATTTACATTTATCTGTGTTTTATCTCATATGCCACTTGCCTGCCCAGTCCTCTAATTTATCCAAATCCCTCTGCAGAGAAGTCATATTGTATTCAGACTGCATTACCTTACCTCGTTTTACTGAGGTAAAAAAAAAAAAAAAGGACTTACGTACGTGAATTCAACTGACCACACATCTATTTCTGTGATTGATCCAAAAGAAGGCAAAAAAAAGTATTTATTAATTATCATCAAAGCGTAGCTTAAAATATACACTTACCTGATGATCATTCCCTGGTATCTAAAACGCCTACCCACGGAGCATATTTGTAGGCTTTATAGCTATGCCCAAAAAATATATATAACAAAACAAATTTGTATCTGTGCATTTCTAACTAGCTAGACAACCACAACATGAAAATAACATTGTATGTCTTGTTTTGTTTTTTAAACACATTTTATATTTTGAATCTCTACCAGCCTGGCAGTGAGTATGCCATACATCTATTTTGTGGATGAAAGTCTCCTTTAATATCCATTTCCCCCATTTTTTATCGTGTATTAAGACAGTATAAGGATGCATAGCTATAGCTGGCATAGCTGCTGCCCACATCGCTTAGCTTCGCATGTACAGCATTCCGACAATTTATAAATGAGACATTAGACCGCACAGAGAATGCTCCGCTTGGCACTCGCCATAAGACGTGTTTTCCTGCCTGGAAACTTGTTAGAAGAAGTTATGTGCCCATGAAATCGTGTTATGTGTGGAGCTGAAGCAAGATATTCCACTTTTTTCTGTTTTCGTCTTTGATGCATTCCTTGGCCAAGCCATTTCATAGAAAATATGATGAAATTATAAATTCAGACTGTGAGCGTCTGTACGCAGAGCCTTCATCACCTTTTGTTCTCGTATGTCTAAATTTGTTTGCAACTAAATACGATGAGAAATATTCACTAAGCCGTAATTGTCTGGAATTCAAACAGGGTCAGACAGGGTTTTGGAGCGGTTGCTGGTCCAAGGAGAAATCTAATTGTCATTACGGAGTCAAGAAGGAATTATATCCCCTTTTTGTATCAAACTGGAGATTGCTTAAGTTGTTGTTGTTTTGCCTTCTTTTAGATCAACAACATACAAGAATGTGTTTAAAATGTTGAAATTGATGAATTGAGTCTTTTTTCAACCAAGATTACCATGTAACTATTCCATAAAGTTCAAATTTAAGCAAATTAAACCTGAGTGGCAAACGTAAGGCTAAAATGTCAAGTTATGACTATAGTGGAATTGGACAATTTTCCAAAGTGACTAATTTAGCCAAAATTTTAGCAAATCAGTTGTTGTTTTGTTCTGTAGTGGTTATGGTGTCAGAAGTGCCCCTCAATGTTAGCCATCATACCGTTTAATAATGGTGTGACTTCTAACCTTGAGTCCATTGGGCACCATCTTCACAGCAGCCTGCTCTCTGATCAGCTGACGCTCATGAAACACACAGGAAACTAACAATAGTTCCTTGCAGCCAGTGAGTAAAAAGATATTTTAGTCATCTGAATTGTTTTAGTTTTAATTTAGTTTTAGTCGACTCAATTTTCATTAGATTTTAGTCAACTAAATCTTCAGTAGATTTTAGTGGACATAACTAAAATCTAATGGGCTTACAGCTTCTATTTGTCTCTTTTGCCCCTTCCGCAGCCGCTCTGTGTTTCTTTGTGTCTTCCCAGCCCCTCTAGGTATCTCTCTTCCAACCCTTGGTCTGTCTCTTTTGCCCCTTCCACAGCCCCTCTGTGCAGTGTTAATTTTGGCGGCAAATTTCAATTACTTTTAGTCATAGTCTTTTGACTAAAATGCCATTTTTGTTTTAGTCGTATTTTAATCATCTGAATCATTTTAGTTTTAGTCTAGTTTTACAAACAAGAAAAGAATGTAGCGCTTTTATAATAAATAAATTAAATAAATTATCACCTTTTTGATTCAATTAAGAGGAGTTTTTCACTTGAATGTCAAATAAGTTGGTATCTATAAAAGACAATCAAACATAGTGTAGACAGTATATAACTGGATAATGTCTATAATAGTAATATACATGCACTCACAAACAGAGAGCTATAGACCCAGCTCTGGTATGAATCACTTCTGGGTCCGTATAGGCGACCCACCCCTATAAAGCACATTAACTCATAGGTTGCCAAAGTCCATATTAATCAATTGGTACATACAAAAAAGAAAGAAAAAAGATTCATATCAGTCCTTTATGATAATTTATATACAACCAGATATATCTAACCATCACATATCATCTCTTCTTTATAAATATGTCATAATAATATATCTGGCTAAATGCCTTATAACAATCTAATGGCAAAAACCAGTTTGTTTTTTTTAGAATTAATTCACAGCTATATTTAGGTTGCAACAATACCTCTAACAATCTGTTCCTGCATCAAGTAGAATGGTTAGATATATCTGGTTGTATATACATTATCATAAAGATTCCAGGTAAGAAGTTAAACTTTTACTAAAATAATTGACTATTAACATTAGGGGAGAGGCACCAGGGCACTCCTGGCACCATAACCACTACAGTGTGCTGTGGTGGTTGTGGTGATTGAAAAGTTACTTTAAAATTCATAGCAAGTGGCAGTATAAAGAATCATCCCCTCCAGAGCCAGTGATAAAAACCAAAGAAAAGATAGTGCTCAAGTAACTCTTCTCTTTGGTTTTTAATGTTTGTACCAAGCTTGTCACAAAAACTCTGCTCTGAAGGAGTTAATTTCCATTACATGTTATCCACACAAGCAGTGTCTCTTACATTACAGAGCAAACTGGTGTTTAACCAGTAGAGGGCAGCATATTAATATTATATTAAAAATAGACCGTGGTTACTGAATGAACAATTAAATGCGGAATGCATAAGAAAAAATAATTTCGTCAGGACTAAACTTACGATGTTACAACCCTACAATTTGCATTATTGACATCCTGTGTTACAGGAAATTCTCTTTATTTTAGCAATTTCACTGACTCATTTTGGTGTAATCACACAGTGTTCTTGAAGTTTTTGTTACAACTTAAAACAGCTTGAAAATTGAAGATTATGCTAGCTTTAGTGTACTAATAATCTTAATTTTAATAAGGACAGGAGGCGAGTATTTTGCATTAACTCTCTTTACTAAACTCCAGTAAAGAAAAACGTAAAGAATAACAATAAATCAATGAGCAGCATAGTCTATATAAGGGTCATGCTGCCTGCACACTCCCTCTTTCTTTAAGCGACATCCAAGTCCTGACTGAACCCGAAATCAACCAGAAAACCAAACGAAACCAGTAGAAGCCTCCTCTGGGAAGCGCTGAACTTGAGGAGACTCCCAATCATCGAAACTAAGAACATGAGACAAACGAAGTCATCAGCCAATCAGGCGGAGTTGTGAGTTGTCCCGAAATGACATCCAGTGGAGGTCCTGAAGAGGGTTACCTCTGGACCGCAGGTGGGCTGGCACTGGTTTCAGGAGTTTGGTGATGGGGCCGAGCTGAGCCCGAAAGGGAGGCAGGTGAATTGCCAAGGAGGGTCGTGCCAGAGGAATCGAAGGAGAGGTCGGCAGTCTGGGTCCACTGGGACAGACAGGTATGCGTCTTTTAGGTCGAGCCTGGTAAACCAATCGTTGTCTCGCAGGAGATCTCGCAAAAGATGGATGCCCTCCATCTTGAAGTGGCGGTACACCACGTACGCGTTGAGGTCGCACAGGTTGATGACAGGGCGGAATTCTCCTGTCTTTTTGCGGACCAGAAAGATATTGTTGAAAAAGCCTCCAAAGCTGTCGGCCGGCTGGATAGCTCCATTGTCCCGGAGTTCGTGCAGTTCCGTGTTGACAAGATTGTGGTCGTGCAATGACAGATAGATGGGGCGCGGGAGGTGCGCCTGAACGGGAGTCCCCACCAGGTCTTTGATAAAGCCCTGTAC